TGCCACTGAAAAACTCCCGTGAGAACTGGAGACACTCTTCCACTATCGATTTAACAAACAAATCAGATGGTGATGACGACGAGCCTGTTATCATCCAACGCCCACAAGCGTTTCCCACATTTCATTCTGTTAACCGTAGGAACGATATTGGATCAGGGATCACGGGTGGATTTTCTTCGGAAGGTGGTCGGAAGAAGCTACCTACATATTCTATTCCTGGCGGTGGTGCAGTGCCAGGTGCTAGTGGAACATATCATGGCGGGGTTTATGTAGACCATGAGAAGACCACTGAAAGCATCAAGGAATTATTGGAGGGGGTTAATGATTCAGTTCCTCTTCGGAAGAAGAAGGGCAAAAAGGAAAAGAAGGTTGATGATGAACTAGCTTCTATGATGGAAGAAAAGGTTACCTTGGGCGAGGGTTTGCAGGGGGAAGCCGAACAAGAAAAAGAGGAGGAGGATGATGAAGACGAAGAGGAGGAAGACTCTGATGTAGTTGAGGGTTTAAACGTCAAATTACTTCCGCATCAAATTCGGGGATTGAAATTTCTTCGTGGCAGAGAAGAAGGAAAGGCAAGAGGTGGGATATTAGCTGATGATGTATGGATCCTCGTTTGTATACCTATTTATTTCTGCCAAACTAACTATATACAGATGGGCTTAGGAAAAACAATACAGACTATTTCCCTTATACTCTGTCATACACATCCTTCGCATCCAATCGGCGGGGGTTCTTCCCTCTCCCCAGAGTCCAAGAAAGCAGCCATAAGGCTTCCGTCCGACCTCGAGAAAGGGACTCTTGTTGTTGCACCTTTGGCTTTGATAAAGCAATGGGAAGCTGAGATTGAAAGACGCACCGAAGATTCTCACAAAATGCGTGTTCGCGTCCATCACGGCCCATCACGGGCCAAAGACCCGGCTTTACTACGGAAATACGATGTCGTTATTACCACATATGATGTCATTCGTTCTGAGCATAAGGATACCGAAGGAAATGGAAGACCCGTTGGCTGTTTTGGACTACGTTGGTGGAGGATTGTACTCGATGAAGCGCACACAATCAAAAATAGACTTGCGAAAGGATCATTGGCATGCTGTGCTCTCCAGGCAAGATTCAGGTGGTGCCTTACAGGTACACCTTTGCAGAACAAGATCGAAGAACTGCAGAGTCTAATCAAGTTCCTGAAGGTGGCGCCTTTCGATGACCTTGTTGTGTGGAAAGAGCAGATCGCAAGACCTATGAGTCAAGGTCGTGAAGGGGTAGCTATTGAGCGACTCAGAGTGGTGTTGGGCGCTATTATGTTGAGGAGAACTAAAGACGTTCTGAGGTCAGATGGTGATAAGCTGGAGGCTGCAGGTGGTGAAAACAAGATGAAGATGGTTAAGAGGAAGGTTGAGAGTGTAGTCACTGAATTCGATGAAAAAGAGAAGGAGTTTTATGAAAAATTGGAAGCAAGGACGGAAGAGAATCTTGAGAAGATGCTTAGCGGGTTCGGTGTTGGTAGAGGATTAGGAGGTGTCAATATGACGAGCGCTTTGCTCTTGCTTCTAAGATTACGACAAGGTATGTTCTCGTCGACTAGAGTTAATTTCTCCCAAACTAACACATGCAGCCTGTAACCATCCAACTCTCGTTGCTGGAAAAATTGTCAAGGATAAGGATTCTGGGCTTGGTCTAACTACACCACGGAAGAAAGCACCGAAATCATTAGTGCAGGACGAAGCACTGGATGATGATCTTGCAGGCCTAATTGGCGGACTAAGTGTCGACGCCAGGAAATGTGATGTTTGTTTCTCAGCATTAACTAAGGAGGAGACACGAAAGGGAGAACCTAGGTGTAGGGATTGCAGGGAAGATCTCAAAGCACTAGAGAAGGCATCAAGAAAAGAAGGTGGAGGGGAAACCGTAAAGAAAGACGCTGGCAACGTCAAGAACAAAAGAGGCAGATTGGTGGTTCTTGACAGCGATGATGAAGAAGAGGAGGAGGAGGACGATGGCGACTATGGCAACGGTACCAGAGAGGAAAAGAGAAAAACGATTGCAGACGATGATGACGACGAAGGAAGCCAAGCAGAAGAGGTGGACGAGGATGAAGATGAGGATGATGGAGATACGAAACCCCGGCATCACGATAGCGAGGACAATGGGGGCAGCCAGGCAGAAGAAGGGACCGATACATCAGATGATGATGGTCCAATCAAGCCGAAAACAAGACGACGTCCCAGAGTTGTCGATTCATTCATCGACGATGATGAGGATGAGGATGAAGATTACTCGGAAGAAGATGAATATTCTAACCTTGTCATATCAACGAAAATCAAGCGGCTCTTACAAATTCTTAAGAAAGAGTTGAAAGAAAACAACAAAACAATCGTTTTTAGCCAGTTTACAAGTATGCTGGACCTAATCGAACCCTTCCTCCATAGGGAGGGTATTGCGTTCGCAAGATACGATGGGAGTATGAAGAATGATGATCGTGAGGCCAGCCTGCGAAGGTTGAGAGGAGAGGGCGAGTACGCGAATAAGAAAGGAGTAGAAAAGGAATTCTGTGGTGTACTTCTGTGCAGTTTGAAATGTGGGGCCCTGGGTTTAAATCTAATTGCTGCTTGTAGGGTGGTTATATTAGAACCATTCTGGAATCCTGTTAGTACACATACCCATTCGATCAATCATACTAGCTAGCACTAACTTATCTTTCTGGGTTTAGTTCATTGAGGAGCAAGCTATCGATCGTGTCCATCGTATTGGTCAGATAACAGATGTAGTTGTCTACAAGCTCACCGTCGCTAACTCTGTTGAGGAACGTATCTTGAAGCTTCAAGAGCAAAAAAGAGACCTTGCCAAAGCTGCATTTGGAGATGGAGACGGCGGACTTGGAAAGGCAAAAGCTACGAAGCTGAGCATGAAAGATATACTGTATCTGTTCAGGCGCGATGCAGAGACGGCCTCAGGACCCGGGTCAGCTTCCACGGCGGGATTAGGAAGTAGGGCAAGGGTCCTTAAGGATAGGATTAATGACGATAGAGAGAGGGAGAGGGAAAGAGGTGTAGGATACAGTCGTGAAGTCCCGGGAAGATATACTAATACCGAAACCGAGGAACAACGTCAAAGGAGGAGGGCGGCAGAAACAAATAACGTTTTTGGAAGGCGATAAATATCACCGCGAGAGATTGACTTCAACTTTCTTTTTGGTGGGATTGAAAATGGGCTAGTACTGTTACTGTATAGAGTATTAGTAGTTACAAGTAGAGTATCATTGTCATGAGTTCGTTCCATTGTGGGCAGGATAAGTTATTTCAAATTCGACAGACTATCAATATGCTGTATTTGTTCGGGTTATATCAAGCCTTGATGGTCTAGTGGTATGATTCCTGCTTTGGGTTAGCTTAAATGCAGGAGGTCTCCGGTTCAATCCCGGATTAAGGCCTGTCATCTTTTTTTGGTTTACTCAGTTATGGTTTGGGGTCACGAAACATGGGCAAACCTGTGTCGCCAAGTCGGTCTTTTTAAGGCCCTGTTCGGTTGCAATCTGTGGATGGGTTGCAACCAAAACTGGCAGTGTTGGTACCTCTATCTACAAGCTACATCTTCACGGTGTTAGCTCGAGACTCACCAAGGCGATTTTGTAAACGTAGAACATCTCAACCCTCTTCATTCCAAGTTTGCTTCCAATCAAATGATACTTCTCTTTTGTACAATTCTTTCAAATAAAATTCTTTCACTACTTTCTAAAAGCTATACCACTCTCAGATCAATGCTGTTGCGACTTGAGTATTAGGCCCTGTTCGGTTGCAACAATTATAGTACAGTCGTTCACCGTCTCTTGACGAATACTGCTAGTTGACGAACAGGGGGCTTTGGGCTAATAGAAATCAAAAGGACTGGTGATCTCGAGGCTTGGCTGTTGCTTGACTGTTTCTTGCCATACTTGGAATCCCTGTTCGTCAAGTGGCAGTATTCGTCAAGCGACGGTGAACGACTGTATTGGCTCAATCCATAGAATAAAAACCCAGAGGTGTTCGGTAACCACCTCTTATTACAAAAGGACCATAATTTGAACTTCACCTCGGCAGATGGTTTTGCATGGACTACATGTAAGTAAGTGCCACATACAAAGCCACAACAATAAAAAATTTAAAAATTTCAATTTTTGGGCAGCTGTGAGCTTTCCTATCAATAGATCTCATACTAACACAAAATTGAAATTGGAGTGATGGTGATGGAGTTGTAAAACCCATTATTGTATTGATGACAAGAAGCGATGAGGGCGAGTGAGCTTCAAGAATAACAGCTCGTCCTCTCCAAGTGCTCATGTACCTACCTACACTCACAGGAAAAAGGTGGCGAAACAAGGAGTGATCACAAACGCGGTTAAACAACCATGGCTTTTGAAGGGAGGCCGTACAAGGCGTCAAATATATTTCAGACTTACTATATACTCTCTTTCTCATTTTGTAGTTCAAGTACTTCTCGTCATTGGGGTTGGTGTTAAGTGCAGGTGTTTCCTCACCTTTTTCCCGTGGGTGTACATAGCTTTGCGGCTGAGCTACTCTTTATCTTTATAATAAGTAACGCCACTGAATATGATTTGGATACTTGATCATGCGAGGTTATACTCTAATTAATTGAGATTTAAGCGGTTTTGTCCCTAGACTCATAGCAATCCTTGATTGGCTTGAGAGAGCTCAAATACAACGATGACTAAGCAATGCAGGCTTGATGATCTATGACACTCAAACCTATTTCACGATGGACAATGACAATAATACAGCTATTTCTACCGCCGTCATATATCATCAATGACTTGTCGATGTGCATACAAGCGAGGTCTCAGTTTGACCGTGGTACCTTATTGTTACATGAATGCGTATTGTACATACATACATAAAGAAAGGAAGTGGTATCCGTCATTAAAAAAGGGTATTTTTATGGAAAAAACAAAGGAAAAGAAGGGCCTTGAAAAGGCGTACAAAGCATGCTATCAACTAGATTTTCTTCTTTCACTTTTTCGCTACCTTCTTCCCCCGTTTCAGCATCTTCTTCAAACCACCTAAGTATAACCAAGTGCAAATGAATACGACCGCAAAATTAAAGACTATGAAAGCCCAGAAAATACCAAAATTTCTCCAGTGATGCCTATAATAGATATTAAAGTTTCTCGCCTAAAAGATACATCTGTTAGTATAGATAAAAACAGGCGTTACTATGATTGTAATTATGGAAAGTAAACTTACAAATTCATCTCCGTCAGAATATTGGCAAAACCTGCACTCATTTCCAACCTCCTGAACATACCCTCCGGCTTGCCTAATAAACGCAGTAGTATAGTTCTCACACGATTGCCCAGGTGGTTTCGGGATCCTCGCCAATTCGTTCTCAGAACATCTAACAGGCACGTTGTGGACGAGGACACCCAAGAAGCCTTCTACTAGGTAGGTGAATGGGCTGACGCGGTATACGAAATGCCAGAATTTTGGAATACCAGCAAATGGTATGACAACACCGCAGAATGAAACGACGAAGAGGAAAAATACCGGGACAAGCAAACTGGCAAGAAGTTCGTTCGGCGAAAACGAGGCGATAGCTTGACCAAAGCTGACATAGTATAGTTCAAACCTATTGTATCATTAGCTCTATGGTTCTCCAAACACGCTGTAGACGATGAAATAACTAGATAAAACTTACAGCATTAGTAGCATCCATGTGTACCCAACAGTAAAACTATCTCTTGGGAACCCGACAGGGAAAAACCAGGAAACAAAAAACAAAGTTCCAGCTACAATTGAATAGGGTATTTCTACTAAAATAGCAGCGATTACAAAGGCAGACCAGTGATAGATTTTTGAAGAGCTTTCGCGAGCCATGAAAAGATCCCTTAAATGCAAATATTTTGGCTGCAACTGTTGAATAAGTGGTGGGGATATGGTGAGCACCATGAACACACTAAAGAGTCGAGATTGCATATCAATCGAAGTATTTCCAAGCTTGTAGAAAGTAAAGGCATTGAAAAGACCTGTGAAAATGTGGAGTGCGAACTTTCCAACGACGTATTCCGGTGCTCTCCAGTACGACACAAAGGTTCTTCTCACAACCGCCAAAACCTGTGTGAACCAAGGCATAGCAAACTCGCGGTCATCGTGGGTTGAGGAATCAGCTTTAGAACGTCGATCTGAAACAATTTGTTCAATTTCACGTGCTCGCTCGCTGTGTTCGTTGGAGTTCGACCAAACTTCACCCCAGTCCTTCTCCTTTCGATTGGGATCTCCAGCACCAATTGCTTCGAGCATATATTCTGCAGGGTTTTTATCCTTAGGGCACTTAGGCGCGCCGTTGCCTTCGAAATACTTGATCATCTTTTGGGAATCCTGCCCAAGCTCTCCGTGATAGACAACGCGTCCACCCTTCTTCAGAAGAATCAAATCGTCAAAATTCTCAAAAAGGACTGCACTCGGTTGATGAATGGTGCAAAGAATGGCCTGGCCAGAATCCGCAAGCTTCCTCAAAAATCGTATTACATTAAACGCCGCATTTGAGTCAAGGCCTGAAGTTGGCTGCGATATTATTAGAATGTGGCCTTTGTCTGCAATGTGTCTGCTGATAGCTTACCTCGTCGAGAAACATGAGAAGCTCCGGTTTACTCGCAAGCTCCACACCAATAGTCAACCGCTTTCTCTGCTCTTGGTTCAAGCCATTGCCCTGGGTTCCAACTGTGGCCCCTGCGAGCTCGTCCATCTCAAGAAGATGAATTATTTTCTAGGCCTAATTAGCTGGCATTCCTTTGGTCTCCCAATTTATTGGATGCATACTTCGACATAATCATACTTCTCCTCAGTAGACACCTCCTTTGGCTGTCTTAGTAAAGCAGAGAACCGTAAGGCCTCCCTTACAGTTGCAGTCGGCTCGTGAACATCCTGTTGTTCCGCAAAACCAGTAGCGCGGGCAAATGAGAGAGGAAGAGGCTGGCCATCAACTAGGAAAGTGCCTTCAACCACACCAAAGCTGATACGCTGAGCCAAAGTATTGCTGATATTTTGTTAGTAAGTTTTTGGTAAAAAGGTATAAGAATCATACAGAAGAGTGGTTTTTCCGGCACCTGATTCTCCCATCAAGGCAGTGAGTCTCCCAGGTTTAACATATCCTTGGACATCCTGTAAAAGTGTCCTGTGTCCATTTTTAACTGGAATAGTATATGTAACTCCCTGCCAGGTAAAGATTGTATCATTCTTTGCGACTGCAGCTTCCTCGGTGCGATTATTACTTTCCTCATTGCCGATCCTACCAACTTCTTTCTCTGCAGCCTCTACATCCACGGAATTACCCTTATTCATAGCATTCTCAACATGCGTTGGGGCTTGTCCTCTCTTGAATACGGTGACAGCTCCTCCACCCTTATTCGGCTTCTTCAATTCCAAACCCAGTGCTGTCATAAAAACGAAGAAAAGCCAAAACGCTATGATAAATCCGACGTTTCTCCATAAGTGTGATCTTGTATAGGTAAACTGCGATTGTATGTAATCTGCACCGTTCACAGTGGTGGATCCGGGCCGACCGCCTTGCAAAAGACAAGATTGATACTGTGGCTGAACACCAGGACCAACTGGTACCAGATACGGCGGCACACACTCGATCTCCAGATTGTAGAACTCATTGGCCATGAGAGCCTCAAATCCATACTGGATAGGATTGATCCACCTTATCCAAGAGAACCATGGATGCATAGATGAGGGCGGGATAAGATAGCCTATGACAACGTGAGCATAGCTAATTCCATATCAGTATACCGGATCGCCTTACCTGTGTAGACAACCAAGGCTTGAATTGAGACACCAGTGATCCTAGTAGCAGCATCCAAATTTGAAGAGAATGCCCCAAGCATTCTAAAAAATGAATACATCGACAATGTAACGAAGAATATAATCAATAAACTGATGAAAAATTGGGACGCGGTACGTTGCAATCCGGCCATAAAGTAAATGACTATGTTCCATATGAAGACCTGAATAAAGCAGAGGGGTAAATCGACAAGGACCAAAGCTATGGCATATGCGGATGGGCGATAAAATGAGCTATAAACGTTATCAGTATATTATGTAGTTTTATAGGTCTTTAACAGATAGGATCATACAAGCTCTTATGTTTCATCAATATCGGAATAGAATCGAACGCCGCCGTAAGTTCTGCTAGGGCTAGCAAGGCGTTGAATAAAAGGGTAAAAAACTGTTTTCAATGAGCCCAAGCCGTGTGGTGCCAGAAAGTCACAACTTACCAAAACACCTCCACGAGGGAACACTCCGGCCGCATTCTTAGGCAAATTATAAAACAGAGACCCAACGATTAAACTTTGGAACAGAATTCCTCCCCACTTTCCCCCCAAACTCAGTGGATCACCTCTCATCACCTTAACCTGTCGTTTCGTGCAAGCGATAACCTGTTTAGGAAATGAAATGGTGTAATTTTTAGTTTTCGTTTCCTTTGACATCTCCTTACTCCTTTCCTTCTTTTGCTCCTCGAGAGTACTCTCGAACTCTTCGATATCTCCCCTAGTGTGCGCAGCAACCTCAGACGCAACATATGCAGCTTCGAGTTCCTCTGCTGTACGTGGGACCCTATCTTCCCACCCTCTTTGATTTGTCGCTCGTGCTTGTCAGTGACAGAGGTCAGGAAATCTGCAGTTGTCCATCGAGGGTGACAAACGAAACCCAAACTCTCAAAATGGGCCTTCGCATTCTCGGTAGGTCCAAAGTAAGCACACCTTCCTTCATCAATAAGAATAACTTTGTCGAAAAGTTTATATAAACTCTCTCCTGCTTGGTATAGTGCAACCAGGGTGGAAATGTTTGCCATGTTACTCAAAGTGCGAAGCGATTCCACATATTCTATTGCCGTGCTGGCATCTAGCCCTTTAGTGGAGTTGTCCCAACATTGGCAAGAGGCTTTAGTGACTATTGCTTCTGCAATAGAAACTCGTTTCTTTTCACCACCGGAGACACCGCGGATAAGTTCGTTCCCTACCTTTGTGTCAAGGGTGTGTTCGATCCAAAATAGTTTGCTGACGACACGGAGAAATTCGTTGACATATTCTTTTCGAGTCTCGCCCTCCTGCCGGGAAGCCTTCCCTGGCGTACGTGTCTCAAGAGCGAACTTTAGGGTTTCCTTTACAGTTAATGTAGCATAATGTAGATCTAATAAATATAAGTTAGAAGCATGCTCCTACTGATGGTATCTCATGATAATACCTTCTTCAGGATTGTAGAGGACTTCGCCACGAAACCTTTTGGCCATCTCGCTGCTGTCAACTCCACCATAAAGAACGTCGCCCGAAATACTCTCATAGCCGTTTCTCTGGTTACCGACAACCTTCAAAAATGTCGAGCAACCTTTTATCATTGTTAGTGCGTAATTCAATCACTTATCAGTACGGCTTGTACTCACCAGATCCCGGCCTCCCTAATACTAACAACATCTCGCCAGGTCTAACGCATCCTGTAAAATTATTGAGTAAAGTCCTGATTGGTGGCTTCCCGAATCCAGCCTTAGAACCCTTAGAAAGAAGCCCCCAGAGTGCCCTGAAAGGACCCAAAAGTAACCCTCCATTGGTTGGCTGGATGCTGGCCCCTAATCCTTGGCCTTTTACGGTCAAGTTCTTAAAGACAACACCAAGATGACGAGCTTTCTCTTCTTGAGAATCGCTTTTACGAGAACTTCCGAATATAGATGAAAGAAGCTGCTCAATTTCTTGCTTAGATCCCTGCAACTCTTCATGATGCGAGGAGGCGTTAGTTCTCCGCCGTGAGAGAATGCGAAAGATTTCTTCTTCCCCAGTTGCTGGTCCTACTTGTGTGGACTCTCTACGAGCGGGTGCTGGATGGATGGGCTGTGTGGTGGTCATATTTGCAAGGTCATGAAGACTACTAGATGCACTAGAATAGTTTGTAGCATCATTTCCCTTTGCTTCTGTCCCGGGGTCATCATCCACAATTGTTTGATCTGACCCGGTTTGATTTGAATGCCGCCGAGCATCCTCGTTCAGTGTAATAGGTGCTAAACCGGCCTCTAAATCGGAATCTGCTGCGAGGGATCCCGCCTCTGGGAAGGAGTAATCCTGTGTATTAGAAGCCCCGGGGGTCGAAGGCCAACGACCTGGGATTCCTTTTGGTGTAGGAAGCGCAGCCATGCTATGTTGTTAGATTCCACAGCAGCAGCAGCGGCCGTAGATAAATATATTTATAGGAGTAAAGAGAGAATGGTAGTGGTGTACACTATTGATTTACAAGAGAAGGCTTCGGTGGCTTCATAGTCTCTATTATACTCAGAGCCTTGATGTCCATATTGTATGTGGGAGCCTAGAGCGGTCTAGAAAAGAGGTTAATTGGATACAACAAGGGCAGCGCAAGGGTTCATACACAAGGGCCACTGGACATCAACCTCTATGCAGATTTTCGTTAACATAAACGTCATGACTTTTGAAAAAAAATAGTAAGCGCATTTGTGGAACTGTTGATAGTGACTAACTTTGCGATTGTTGTTATTAGTCCCAATGATCCAGATCGGCAACTAAAGCGGCTACTTCCAGGACGAATTCGGGTTAATCCAGCAGAACTTGGGTGCTGATTGGTTGTAAACTGCAATTAATCCTTGCAAACAGGTAGTAGATCCTGTACCCTAGATGATATGGAGTCGGAAAAATAATCTCCCCGTGTTTCGGTATTAACGCGTCCGATTTGGGTGAAGAATGGGCTGCGTCATAACTACATAGGCAGGGCTTTTCTTTGTTCACGAATCTCGATAAGACTACATGTACTTTACCTACTCGCGCGAGAGGTATGTGCAACGGATGGATTCTCGGCCGACAGTTAACAGCACCGGTGTGGCTTTTAGGCCTTTTCAATGTAGTACATACATGTATTCTAGCAAGCCACTGCTAGTAGTAGCCCGCTTTAGTAGGCAAGGTACGGCACATAAGCTCAATCTTTTGCACTGTGCATGTAGGGTTTTCTACAGGCATGCCATGCGCGAGTACATGTCAACTTTTCCCTCGATTGAAATTTTCCAAAAAAATATTGCCTTATGGATTACCACATGTATTCATGACAAAAGCACAAATGGGTAAATACAGTATTGTACTGCATTACATATCTCCAATTAAGGGTTTAAGTATCTCCGGCACAATCTAATGTCCACATATATATATCAGAGATTTTCAAACTTCATAAATATAATCATATGATAATATGATAGGAAGCTCGTACCTTAGTTGCATCCCCTTCAAATACCCAGTCAAATATATTACTACTCCAGCCGCCGCTGCTTACATCAAGGTCGACAATCGCGACTTTACCTCCTAACTCTTTAACTCTATGTGCATATCTATTGAGTTTCGAAGGTAGTCAGTTTTCATATAAAAACATATGCCAAGGTCCAAAGGGAAGACGTCTGGGTAGGAAGAACACACCCTGCAGCTGGATATACCAATCCACTGGTTCCTATAACAATGCAGAGATCAGCCGGTTGTTCCAGCCAATGTTCGATCCCGTCCATCATATCTAAATCTAGATTCTCGCCAAACCACACGACTCCTGGTCGTAGGATATTTTGTTGACCTGCTCACATGTTTGTTATTAATTCGTTGGATATAAAGATGGAGGCAGCCCCATTACTTACATTTTGGGCACACGGGCAAATCTGAGAGCTGTAAGGCCTGAAGTTCTACGCTTTCGTCGTACACAAGGGTTTCTTCGGTTGGGGTTCCACCGTCTGACTGTCCGCTGGCAGGTCCTGGTGCTCTTTGTTCAACCGTCTTTTTCGCCATAGGCACCGCAAGTGAGGGAACAATTGGATCGGCAAAGTTTTGATCATCCACATAATCACAGAGATACCCAGAACATCTGAGCGCAAACAAAGATCCATGAAGATAACGAATCGAATCATTCGGATGATTGGCCCTTACCGAAAGCCCTGTTGGACAGCATGACAATTAAATTACTTGATTACTCCCGTGATAGTAATAGCACCATCTTGCGCTATACGTGGACTTACCGTCTACGTTTTGTGTCAAAGTCAAAAATGCCGGATGTTTTCTCGCCAATTCTGCCAATGCATAATGCGCTTTGTTCGGTGTGACTTGCAATGCCATATGTCTACGCATTGAGTAGAACTAATATCACTAGAATATGAGATAGAGTTCTCGGCAGTAAATATGCAAGCTTCCATACCTGCCACACTAATCCAGGATCCCTCTTGAATGCCTCAGGCGTCGCAAGGCGCATAACATCATAATTCCTCCACATACCGCCGGCACCACGGAAGGTGGGCAGTCCCGAGGATGCTGAGAGGCCAGCACCACATAAAGCGACAATACGGCGTGCAGAAGAGAGATAAGTATGGAAGGAGGCGACGTCGGTGGAAGGAGACATATCTATCTAGAGCTGATTGATGTAACTAAGTGCTAAAGTGGGGTTAGACATGCACTCGGTTATCGTTACCGACTCGACTCGCCAATCTCGTTTCTAGCGTTCAAACCATAATAATTCTTGCCAAGAAATATCACGAACTGCTTAGATAAGGTTAAAGGTCAACTATCAGTGGACTCTCAGTTGATCACTTTCCCATCGAAAAACAAATTATAATTAAAGAACCCAATGTGTTCAATCATATTCCAAACACAAATCGTAGCACTCCCAGCAAAATTCCCCACGCAAACCCCGAAAAGAGACTATCTCATTTAAGCGTTTACACATATATCACACTAGTACCTACATGCACATCAACACATCCTCAAATTGTAACGTTTCATGGTGCAATATTCTTTGCCACTTCACATACATACATGTATGTACATGTACTCCAGTCAAGAAAAAAAGGCGGGTCTACAAGATGAGGTTTTATGAGGTTAAAAAACAATCTTCCATTTTCCAGATGTTTAGAAAAGTCAGTCTTCAAACTCGGGCAATCTCATAAAAATCAAACTATGTAACTATTACAGTCACGAGATCTTAGTTAGACGTATACTTAGGTCTGCAGAGGAGGGGAGAAAATGAAGAATTTAATCTCGTATCAAAGAAACTTCAGATAACGGTATAAACCTTCATTATTACTAATCTTTGCAAACATAGCGATTGGTCTGCTTGGAAGCATACTAAACTATACTCTCAGTTAGACGTTGATATTCAGGATTCTACAGTGTTGTGCTCAAGAAATCTCTTACTACTGGTTACCCCTTCTAGTGGTACTGTAATTTCAAAGCCCTAAGTACTTCTCCAACACATTTCACTACACGATGGTTCGGCAATTCACCCTAGACTCCCTCCTCGCACCGACGCTTCGATTCGATTTTGTGTCAAAACATCATCCCATTGCCCAACCTACATCCCAGCGTTTTCCAACCTCCTTCACAAAGGTTGACAGAACTTCATCCAAGCCTACCCTGTCTGATGGATTGACTCTGACACAAGCCTCGACGATTTCTCGCCATTTCAAGGGAATCGGCCCGCACTGCGTCCAAATCTCACTCTCTGTCCAGGTTATAGGGATATCTTCTCCATATTTCATGGTTTCGGGAGGGACCTGCTCAAATAGGAGCCACAGCATAATTCCGACAGAGTATGTTTCAACCATTTCGAGAGCTCCGGGGATAGCACGCCACTCTTTAAAGGCAGACCAGTCCTTGAAGTACTGTTTCCTCCGATTAATTCCCTTCCTAATATCCTCTGCACTGGCACCATCCCCATCCGTATTGCTGTCTTCTCTTCTGCTCCTATTACAGATGTTGCCCGGAACAGAGTTGATAGTAGAGCAAAGAGGAGGGTCAAAATCCTTAATATCTTTCAACTCTGCCAAGTTCTCTTTTTCAAACATCAAGCGGACATAATTATTACGCTTCCATATTAACTTATTCCACTCAACTTTGTTTTTCGCGCCAGATCTTTCCACGGTGACATCCCATTCGCCCCTGATACGTGCCTCTGGGGGGACTCTCCATGATAATCTTGAGACTTTTTCATCATCTCCAAATCCGATGAGATGGAGTTGTAAATATTCATCGATCATGAACCTTTCCAAGCCAAATCCACGTTCTCCGTCCCCCAATGATTTCTGGGCCATTCTCTGGAGATGTTTCACGGCACTCACAATCTGGTAGGCCCATTTCGCTTTCTGGATAAGCTTGATTTTCCTAGCAACCCGTGGCATCCCGGGTAGGCTGGGAAGAAACAAATAGTCACTCAGTCGACCATTCTTGTAGTAATCACTGATATATCCGACGACCTTGTCCCCATCCTTGTCCCCTTCTTCCTCGCTTCCCAAAGTGACGTATCCAATTGGTGACATGATATAAGGATGGAGAGGAATTTTGTCCAACAGAGTTATTTCGTTGTAGATGTTGTCTGCTTGGCGCATTAAGTCAAGAGCCATATCTCGGTCGGCGAATTCTTCTCTCTTCCCAGTTTCATCATCCACGTCCAGCATTTTGATGAATACACGCCTCGAGTTATCTCGTACATCCTCTTCACCTAGATAACCAACACGAGTCAATTTCCCTAGTTTTTCTACGTGGTAGGCTAGACTGTGACGCTCGTATAAGCCACAAATAGTCTGTTCTTCCTCGACTTCTTCGGACGTCCGTATGCCTAACTGAGATGGGCATTTCAAACTCGACAACAGTAGTTGGTAGGAATATGTCGCAACCAGAGCAAAATATGGGTTACCGTCGCCTGTCTCTTGAATCTCAAGGACATACCAAGGGTTGCCAAAATTAGCGTTCAATATGATTGATTGTGGGGTCATGGAGACGATCTTGGAGAGATTTTCAAACTCTTCAGGGACCTGTGCCGGAGAATCTGCAGTGGAGTGAATAGGAAAATTTGTGGGGACGTCGTTTACAGGTACAGGAGGTATGTACCAAGGGGATGCTTCCTCTTGGCGGAGGAAAACGGCATTCTGAGTGATGCCAGCCCTATCTGCAAATGGATTCTGCACATGTAGAACCAGCGAAATATAAGAGGATATGACGGTAGAGGATGGAGTCATTGAGACAATCTCCAAGCAATCCAACGTAGGGGCAGGAGAGGCTATAGAAGTAGTTGAATTGACGGTAGGGGGGGCTCTACTAGAGCGGGTGAAAGACATTTTTGAAGCAATTGTTGGGGATTGTGTTGATGAAGCTGCCTTAGACGACAATTTCGATGAGGCCTTCGATGAGGCCTTTGATGAATCTTTTAAAGAATCTTTCGATGGATCATTTGCTGAATCTCTTGATGAAGCCTTTGATGACCCTTTTGACGAATCTTTTGACGGAACTTTCAATGAGTTGATTGTTATGAGGGACTCGGCTCTGCGACGTCGAGTTGTTGGTACTATGATAGCTGGCGGACCCGGTGGAGGATGCCTCTCCTCAGAGAACGGGCGGTGCGGTGCAGGGAAGAAAAACATAAGATTACGAGGACGACTTATGGTGTTGATTATGTTGAGATAGGATGATGGATGGGTAGGTGTTAGTGGTAAACTGATAACCCGGAGATACATCATTTAGTCACCACAACATTTCCCCAATCCGTGACATATATTGAGGAAACGCATAAATTCCTACAAAGATACATGTAATCTCATTCCCAGACTTTCACCACATCTTATGGATACAACTAAAATCATTCGCGAATAATATATGTACTAATTCATGTTGATAATTTTCATGTATGTACATGTATGCATCATGTTATATGCTGAGATACAAAATAATGGCTTCCAGCCGTACATTCTGCGAGTGTGAAGAATCACGAGTGATTCCTCATGATTCCTATCAGGACACCTAACTACATGTACCAATCAATTTTTAATAATGTATTGACTTGAGATTAAGGCTACGAACGACACACTCTCTATTGTTAAAAACATTCCATCGTATTATTATAAGGCCGTTGGGGAATATTGAAGTCGACTGGTGCCCAAGCATAAAACTCCAAACTCGGTTGCTTAGTCATCGTCCTTAGACAGCCTAGGTGTGTAGGATATTGTTTTGAGATGGATACAATGTCATGTAGGTACATACTAGGCTCGTCCCCAGTCTCCCTACTTACATCCTTCTAGCGGGAGATAGGGGATGGGTACGAGACTAGATGGATTGTAGTAATGATCGTGCTCAGAGACGTACCTACATGTACACCCGCAGGAAAAAAGTGAGTAGCGTGACAACGGGTGCCTCCAACTTGACATCCCCACACCCACAATACAACCCCACGAGTATTCCGTGGCCATGCCTTTTGACAAGTCTGGAAAGTGGATAGAGGCTACTCCGAATGAAAACATAAAAGTTATTGAAGCCCAAGCTAGGGAAGAGTAGGAAAGGCCGGATTGGGGGAAATGTATATAAAAAATCATTGACAGCATGCCAAAGAGAATTGCAGCAGTAGTAAAGGACTAGGGAGATCATAGGGGGTGGTGAATATAGTTTAGAGGCCATAGTATCTATTCTGTATTTTATTGTTTAGTTATATTACTTCTTTTCATTTTTATCCCCAATTTTGCATTGGGGTTCGGACGGGTTGCACCCGCTGTTTCCTCACTTTTTTCCTGCGGGTGTACCTACACGTTACTGATTTGAAGCCTTATGTACCTACATGTACTCAAAGTACAGTCGTTCACAGGGTGAGGACGAAGACTGGGTGTAGACGAACAAGGATTTTTGGACAAATAGAAAGATCACTTGGGCAGCTTGGCTGTTTCATGTTATATTGAGAACCCTGGTTCGTCTTCACCCAGTGTTCGTCCTCACCTGTGAACGACTGTACCTACAGTACAGTAAGTACATTCTAATTTTGGTATATAACGGTGATGACGTCTAATGCAGCAGAGCCGCATACAGCCCCAGGTTCTGCATCTCAAAGAGGTAAAGAGAGAGCGGCCACCATTTCACCCCAACTAACCACTTCGAACCTGTAGCCCTGCGCACAGATCCCCTCACCTCAGTGTTGTCCACCCGAGTAGCACATGAACGGTCGAGTTGTGAAGGCCACCGACAGCCTGAAATTTACAAAATGCCCTACCAAAGGGTACATACTTAAGAAAACCCCGCGCAAGGCCATCGTATCAAAGCAAATCTATGTTCCAAAACTGAGAAAAGCAGTGAGATCGCGGACTCGGGAACCACGGTACCCTTGTGAGCTAAATATTACCTGCATACATCGCATACCGACGAGCAATTAGAGGGGAAGCCGGATGCGGGAACGGGAAAGTGAAGAGTCCATATGATGGGCAACATTAGACTCTATTGCAACAGAGAGACACGGGACGATAACCATAGATAGAGCAGACACTCAACAACCATCTTCATCGCGACGCTTTAAGAGGGCAAAGATACGGTGGACTTGATTGCAATCCCCCTTCTTACCGGTAAGTACATACATGTATGTTAGCCTTGGGATCACTGTTGCATATAACCACGGTTTGAATTCGAATAAACGAGTAGGAACCGGTGCGCAATACTTGCGATACCTACAACAACATAGAACCAACATCTGCTTCGTTGCTGTAGGCTAGCTGAGCGCCGTGTTTGTACCTACAGTATACGTGACAATATATTATTATTGATAATCCCAGACAACGTTTCCCCTCGTTTCTCCTCACTTTATCGTCTATCATAATCATCCATCCAGCCACCCGTGTTTTTGCCGTCACGTCACGCGGGCCATCGTCGGGATTAATTGCTTTGCACTCTTACCCCCCCTTTAGGGTTGCTCACTCGGCGTCTCGGCATTAAATATCTAAGTGCCGTACCTACATAATATCTACATCCTCTATTCAACATCTCTTCGGAGACGAAGACGACGACGACGCGGGGAAACATAAACAGTATCGAAGTAATAATCATAACAAACCGTGGTTGGCAACTTTAATTTATAGTGACGGCTACCAGCTGTTCAACATCTTGATAAACATTGCGATAATCGGATATCTCCTTCCCTCCCCGCTTCGATACGTAGACGCGGCTGTCCGTTTCGTTCTTAACTAGAGTCTGGACTACTTAATTGTCAGTGAAGTCTCTCGCCTCTTCAGTTGCAGTTTAAGGTTTCGGGAAATTTGTCATCTCCGCACGAATCCCCTATCTCAGTCGACCGACGTCCACATATCACCATTGCGACTACTACCTCTTTAATACCATTACATCTCGGTAATATAATCACATTCACTTGAATAATATGGGTTCCGCCTGCTCCACCTGCCTTGGTCAAAGGAAATCAGACGATGTACTTATCCCCTCATTCCTGCGCCTCTTCTCTTTACTGGTGACTGACTTCCCCTGAATAGTCTGAGCACACTCGCCTTCTTACCACACACAATGAGCACCATCTTTACAGCTCTGGGGGAGCTTTCATGTCTCCATCCGCCCCACACGGCGCGCATGCACCAGTAGACCCACAGACGCTCCTTCATGAGCGTGAATATCTTGATCGCCTCGTGGCGCAGACATCGGAAAACCTAATCGATATCTTCGCGCCTCCAATGCTAACACACTCATCCTCTTCTGCCACGCCAAACAGCCGTGGTGAGTGGTATCGCTCTGTCTTGAGAAAGACAGAACCACCACAACAAGGGCCCGAAATGCCTGTTGTGTTGGACCCAGCTGTTGTGGGCGCAAAGGAAAGAGAGTGGTTGGATAGTATCCTAAAGGGAGGAGAAGAAGCTGTGAAGGAAGTTGGGAGAGTCAAGGGTGTGGGGAAATTGGTAGTTGGTCTGGAACTTGATGGGTGAGGGATGAGGCGCACAGGTGAGGGATGGAATGTGCATGTGGGGAACTGGTACCTCAGATGCAAGATGTTGGGCTATAATGTCATGTGACTGATTTGGTGACGTATTAAGCTCCAATAAACCTGGCTTTGTAGTTTATTTCTTGCTCTTCTTATTGTTCTGGATATTTCAATTTGTCTAAATGGTTTTTGTTCCCTTTTGGTGTATGTTGAAGGTTGGGGACTGGCGTTATTATTCTGTTTTCTTTGGTTTTATCTGCATACTTTGTTCGAGTAGTTTCTTCACCTTTCAATTGTGTCCTTCTCCAAATCCTTCCTGGTTTGAAGATTCTCAATCTTTGTGTTGTTGCCGCAAAACGAATCCCTTTTGTTTGATCATATCATTATCATTATCATTATTATTATTGTTGTTTCAACATTTCTTTTTTGTGCAGGTTCCTGTTTCACTTCCCTTTTCATTGTAAGATTTGAGTTTTACATAACCGTAAAGTATTAACATGTAGGTACATACATGTATAAATAAACAACATGTATATCTACACCTACTTCCTACTTATAATATCATATCCTCTGTCTTAACCTGAATATTTCTTTATGGATTGGGGTGTGACGTATATTACTCTATGCATATATATATATGTAGGACTTATGGTACTGGCCAGGCTGATTTATACTGTATTTCAAAGTACATATGTACTACATATGGGCATGTGTGTACACATACAATATAGATTTAGGTCAGTGTTACATGGCAACTAAGTGCAGCTCTATTCTGATGTATGTAAGTATATACATCCTCTCAACACTTGCTCATTTTACCTTCGAGATCAGATATAGCCTCATAAAGAATCCGGATATTATTCCGTCACACTTGACTGCTCCCTATCGCCTTTTATCCTACTATCTATTTATTTGACAATATGGAAATCGCAAAGGAAGCTTCTTCAGAGTCCTCGCTACAGGTGTCGAATCTCTCTGTGTCAGGCGGGAACGGGTTCTTGTCCCACCGTCCCATGAGTGCAGGTATCGACAGCATCGTACAGGGCTTCAAGTTTGCCGCTACAAGCAGAAAACCTCCTGTAGCAGCAGTTGTGGAGACGGGCAACCAAGTGAATGGGAGTTGCAAATCTAGGGAGAGGATGGGGAATAATGATACCCTTCAGAGCAGAGTAGACTGTGCCGTTGGTAGGCAAGACAAAGATGGGATGGAAGGTGAGCTTCATTTTTACCTGCAACGAGAGCTTACAGTTGGCTAATCGGACATTTTAAAATGACATCTAGCAATGAAAATTCAAGTCCCAATATTTTCTGCTGCTGCTACTGTCCCTTCTCTACTTCATAATCCCTTGAACCCACAAGCGGTACTGCCTCCCGAGACCTCCGCACCGCGCAAGAATATGCTACCGCCATCCCAATCTATACGCCCGGTCGAAAGAGGGCGAAAGACTATGCCTCTACAGGGGTCAGTCAAAGAGAAACGGAAACGCACGCAAAGTTCTAGTTCTCTTAGGTCTGATTCAGAGCATGATCATTCCGATCAGGGGAGAGTACTGCTGCCTCAAGAAGATGGACAACGAAGGTATCTGGCAGAATATGGAGGGAAAGACGCCGAGGCGAGAGGAAAACCCATTAGAACCAATGAGGGAAAGGTTACTGAAGCCAGCTCAAGTGATGATAGAAGACCTAGAAAAAGACATGAAAGATCAGCTGGAATTTCCAGACCTCAAAACGAGTCCCCTGCTAATCCATCCTCAAAAGGAAACAAAATTCCTGAGGTTATTATTTTAGATGACGACATTAAGCCCAAGCCAACCGAAACTGAAGTCTCGATGCCTAATCCTCGGGGTAGAGATTCAAATAATAGTCATATTCCGGGGTTGCCTGAATCAGTATATGATCATGAAAAACATCGGCGAGACAAAAACATCCTAGGACACATGGACCAACCGCTAAAGCAGCATATGCCTCTCCCGAAAAGCACTAATGGATACCATGGTACCATACGGGATTTACCAGATGGGATGATAAGCTCTTCGGAAACGCATGCAAGTGCCGGATCAGGTCGAATTAATGGGCACTCCTCCACGAGTAGCAGACTCGGAATGGGCAGCAATGGGGTACCAAAGAACGGAAGGATGCCTGTAGAATCTGCTCATATTCCCGAGAATTCCTCGCAGCAGCTCAACTATAAAACACACTTCCCTTCGCACACACCTGTCTCTTGTGAAGAGCCAGGTCAAAGTAGCAGCAGTGAACACAAATTATTAGTGGCCTTAACAGCGCTAACCACCGAGAAGCAATCTCTAGAACACAGATTGCGTGAAACAATGTCGTCGCTCAGGGCACAGGTCTCGTGCACAGAAGCCGCAGAGAAGAAGAATGCCGAACTTGAAATCCATGTTGCGACTTACAAAGATACAGTATCAGGACTAAAAAAGAGAGTGCTAGGGGTCCAAAAGTTCGTGGATGGGCTAGGTAATGATTACAATATGTTAAACGAGAAGAAAACACAATTGAGCAAAAGTATCAATCAGCTGTCGTGGGATAGGGATGAGTTGCGGAAGAATTTCAAAGAAGTAAGAGATCTCACAGAAAAGGCCGGGGTGAAAATGCAAGGATGGGGAGATTCTGGTGCTGTCTTGAAAGAATCACAAAAAGAGATTGGGAGACGTGAGTTTATATCTCGCCCTAGTTAGATCTATGATATTAACTTGTGACAGTGCAAGAAACTTTAAAATTTTTTCATAACCAGTTATCAGAAAATGCAGGCTTATTGGCTACTGAAAGGGATCGTACACAAAGTCTTGAATGCCAGATTCAGGAGGACAGAGAAAGGAACAAACTTATTCTAAAAGCGATTCAGGACGGGAAGGTGGAGGTAATTGAGCAACTTGCGGAGCTCAAGGGAACACTTGAAGGGAAGGACGAGCCTGAACTAATGGAAAGACTGGTTAAGGCCCAAAAGATTATGGAGACGAGAATAGAAGAGGATGGCGAGGCTACTAGAAACTTGATCTACAGTTGTTCCAGGTCTATCGAAAAGTTGGGTTATCGGGATGTAGATGCTACAGAACTTTTACTTGGTGTGGAGAAAAGAGTTAGTAATACATCAGTCAGTATGATGGATCTTTTTCACGAAACGCATAAGATGAATGCAGAAGCCCTTTCATACTCGGATGGGTATATAAGCTATCTAAATTCCAGGATCACAAATCTGGAAGCAGAACTCAAGGAAATACATGAAAAATATGAGGTTTCATTGGTTGAATCTGCCGAGAAGAGACATATCACAAAAGAATATGAACTGAGGTTAAAAGATGCCTTGAAGAAGTGCGATGATATGAATACTCAAGTCCAGAGAGGTAATACAGTTGAAAAGACTTTGAATGAAATGTTAGTAAAGAAAATCCATAAAATCTCGAAAGTTATTCTAACAACCTGGGTAGTATTTCCACGTTGAAGAAGAACATTGGTATCCTAGAAGCTCGAACCGCAGAAGATCCTTCTATGGTCGCAACTATCAATATATTGAAGCAAAAGAACTCCAATCTAGAAAAGGAATTTAACATAACAAGAGATGCCCTCCAGGATACAATACTCGCGTCACAGACAAAGGATGGAGAGATTGAGAGTTTGCGATATGAGCTAGAGACGCTCAACTTGAGGTACAAAGAAGCAGAAAAAAAGATTGAGGGTTTCGTTGAAGAAAAGGCCGGGTTCATGGCACTCGCCGAGGAACAAAAGATGAAAGAACGTATCGAGGTTGAGACAAATGCAAATATGTTTCGGCAACGGGAAACCTCGCGGCTACATAATCAGATAAAATCGCTCAAAGCACAAAAGATGAAGTTAGAGGCTGACAATAAGGAATTTAAGACCATGCTAGCTGGGGGAGTCAACGTCGTAGGTGTCCCTCCCTTTTTCACCAACTTCCCCTAACCTTTAATGATAATGACCCCGCAGGAAGTTGAACTTAGAAAAGAGATACAAGATTTAAATAAAAAAGTATGTTAAGAATATCTTTCAATATTCCGAAATCATCTAACTTTACAGAATGCGGACATTGAGGCATCCCACGCTGGGCTCCTCCAGGAAAAGACCCGCCTGGAGAATGCGGTTAGTCATTTAACACAACTTAGAGAAACGTCTAATACGAGCCATCGTGCGCTTGAGAGAATCGTTGAAACCACAGCGGACGAACTTTCAAAGGCCTTAGAAAAAATAAATATTCTCCAGAGCGATAAAGAGCTAGTCACTGAAGAAATAATCCTTAAAGAACAGGAATTGGAACGCGCAAAATCCGATAGGTCTGAGATCTTAACAACTACTCGAGACATAATCGCTCTTCGTATTATTGAAAGAAACCTGAAAGCAGCTCTGGAAGAATCAGAAAAAGAGAACCAGGTGAGTAAGATGGAGAAGGAAAGTGCAATAAATGCTTTGGAGGCAAGAACAAAAGCACTAGATAAGGCCTTAAAAGAGCTTGGGGACTCTAGAGGAAAATCAAAGTCGGTTCTTAGTCAACATGAGGAAAATAACTCTCTAAAAAAACAAATTAGAAAGTTGGAGGGATATTCTGGAGGGGCTATCAATGAACATACTGGAGTGTTTAAGAAAGCTTCCCCCACAACGGAAATATCTCTTCATACACCGGATTTCAATTCGAAGAAACAAAACCCTTACGCACGCGTAGCTAGCGAAATCATGGAGTCCTCTTTTGCAAATAGTTCATCACTCTCCCCATTAACATCACCCGAGCCTATCCCCGAAACGCAGATCGATCATCGGACATGGAGCGATTCTTCTAGTGTTGAGATGCCAAAGGGCTCGCAAAATTTAGACATCTGGGATAACCAGGCCACAAAACTTGATTTACAGCACATGACATTAAACAGAATGTTACATGATGAAAGCAACGATGTTATCATGAGCGAGGGGTCCCCTGGTGATCGCGTCAAAACAGTGGATATTCCGCCCTTAAGAAGCACCTGTCCTGAAAAAAGAACTCTTACACCCTTCACTCCAAGACCTCAAATGGTAGACGTTCTTGAGAATGGGGCAGAGAAACATACTCTAGTTACCCCAAATAGGCCGAAAACACCCCTAAGGCACCGCAACACTCGAGGGACTACAAACGATATCAAGAAACTCCAAAATCGCCCTCGAAAAGACCGCGGGAAGAAAAACAAAGATGACCAGGAATGGTCGGAGGATGAAGCCGAGTCGTTGAGGAACAGTAAGGGGAAAGAGGAACCCCCGAACATGAAGAAAAACTTAAGGAGCTTCAAAGATAAGAAGAAAGGAGGTAAAAGGAATTTGTAGATGATAGACTAGTATAATATTAATGTGATAATATTTGCTTTTTTAATTAGTTGAGCTCATCGGCCTCGCTTTGATAAATACCTAGATGCTCAGTTGCATTCTCATTCATGGCCAGGAGAAAAGTTTCACCAGATTTTCTGAACCCAAACCGGGGATTAAGTCGTACATGCCGTTATAAAAAGGGATATATAATTTGTCCCGCAACTAAACCCTGTAGTGTTTAGCGCATAGGTTCTAGACGCCGTTTCCAAAGATATGCATGTATTTACAATTTATCACCTTTTATACCCGTTTTGCCCATCTTAGCCTCAACATCTGATCATAGACCACATTCCCATAAAGATACACAGATGGGTATAGATTTAGGATTCAGCTATTCTATCCGCTCTTTCCGCGCTTCGCCTCGAGAAAAAGGACATTTCGTCGAACTAGAACCATCGAATAAGCATTTGATCACACACCTCCGGCCCATTTCCGCAAACTGAACGTTTTCCCCGTGCAAAGAAGTATCCACCCTTTCAAACAAAATTGAGGACTAATTGCTGGATATCCTTACCGACTGGATCATACTTGATCATGGACAAAGGCCTGTGAGTTCGGGGTCGGACGAATGTCTTGTAGTAGCCCGTCATCGCCATCGAGATCAGGCGCACCGCAACCGTACGAGATTTTGCTGCATTACTCCTTTAGCTTATAACTCCTTCTTATAGAAGGGTTTAAGGTCAGTTAACGAACGTTTTTTTGCCATTGTTTATGTGTAACAGGTCCTGGGTACCGGGGATTGGATGTTTTGCAGATGTGAAGTTGGGGTAAGCTTTTCATAGATCAGGAGCAAAACACGGTTACCCGGACTTTGAAGTGGGTTAGTCCTGTTTTTCAGCTTGGTGGCGTAATGATCCATTGTGTATAAGAGTAGCTGCCCGAAGGCTTTCGGGATGTAAGACAGCTCAAAGGGGTGTAGGTACTTTTTTGATGACGAAAAAATAAAAGAGGTTAAGCTTCGTAACATGAGCTAATTATAATCCCCCTTAACGATTACTCTACGATGTATGTCTTAACATGACAATTAACGTGGAACCTGGGTATGGGGGCTACTATTGAGTCACTCTTTCAGACTAGCCGGATATATGAGATGTCGTAGTGTGATGATGCGTGTAGTCACTATTGTGTGGACAATTTGTCATTTTCAATCATGTATTATCACTCGTCTCATATATTTACGAAAACATAGCCCCCCATTTCCGATATCATGGGTCTAACCTAGTACCATGTGTATAGTCAAAATATATCCCGATAGATGTCTACAGTATTACCGTCCATAAAAACTTTAGAAAATAGTTCTTGGTAGATATAAAATTCCGGAACAAAATCCCAGCTAGGCGTGTTAATAAAACCTATGTTAACATTTAATCCAGTTCGCGGAATTAATTTTCAGGCTAGGAAGCTGAAAATCAAAAAGATATGTTGAATCTTGACCTCCAAGGCCAGGGGGAGGCCACTTAGATACATGTAGTGTTTGTACCTAGTAAATAGGTATATGTAGTGGAATACTGTACACCAAGAGTTATATGGGAATATGAAGCCCTACTCATCCTATATTAGCAATAAAACAATGAAGTCTCCCCTTACATTCATTTTCCCGGACCTACAAACAACAAAATAATCTTGTTCTTTGAACTACCCGGATTGAGGACATGCGTACTAATCAAGTACATGCGTATATATGCAGGTTTTCTAGACGTATTGCCAATTAAGTAAACGTGTCCGCCGCTCACTTTTAACCGGACACCCTTTCAATTGGACAACTATCGTGGAGAGGTGAAAACCCGCATTTCAACTGTCCTCCAAAAGTCCATTGGATTAATCATCTGTCTCGTCGAAAGGGTATCCGAGTGATTCATTGATGAGGTATCCGAGTGAGTGGTGGAGGCGTCTGTGAAATTTAATACATATGATTCTAGTTAAGTAGTTAAAGTCTTGATCCGAGATCTAACGATGACTGCTACTAGGTATGTATGTATGGATGTCTTTCTTACTGCCGGAAAACCTTGCACTCTAGCGAGGTACTTGGTGGACTTAGCTATTGGCGTCGTTAAATTGATCATGGGTTTTAATGAGAAGTTTAATTCCAAATTCTAACGTTCAAGTGGGGATCTCGGGGCCCTGCATGCCGGCAATTCCCTATCTAACAAAGCTAGTTTGCTGTTATTGGTTTTCTCTGATAATCAAACTGTTCGGTGTTAGCAATCAAATCTCCAATCCAGTGGAAGGTGCCAAGTGTCAAAAGTTTTCTTGTAGTATTCGCCCACGGACCACATGCTGTTAAGGTGTGGCTCATATCGGGTATTAGCATTTTTATTTATTTTTTATTTATTTTTTAAAAAAAGAATAAATTTTCGAGGAATCCATCCATCAGTATAAATTAAATGACTTAATAGCGATCAAGTCAAATGAGTATATTTCATGGGACGTATGTACCATATATATCGAATCTCAGGCAAACCCGGCTGTTAGTGTATTTTGCAAAAGCTAAGGTTTGAAGGTCTGTCAGGGTTTCCGGAGCTATGGCCAATCTGTGAACTTTCGTTTCTTTTAATTTTAGCGAGAAGGTAAATGAGAACGGGGGCATCCCGGACTAGGCCGGGGGCTGATACCGGGGAGGCCGAGATTGACTTCTTTTCGTTCTGGATTTTTTTCTTCTTTTATTCCAACCCCCTAATCTCTTCAACGGTTTGACATTCCTAATACCGCGTAATCTTGAAGTATTTAGGAGGTTTGCATGCAGAAAAAGCTATTTCTAACTTTTTGTTTTCATGCGCAGAGCGCACTGACTTTCCATAAATCTTGGCGCCTGACTAGTAAGGGTTATCTTATCAGAATTGTTTGATTATTAACTCGAGGCCTCAGCATGATTCAAATTTCGGGAACGGAAAACCTACTTGAAGCCAGGTGAGCACCATAACTCTGTTCGTGTCTACGTATACAGCGAAATTAACTCTAGGTAGGGGGGCACAGCAACTGTGCATGGGGGAGGTAGTTGAACGTGACTGAAGCCTGGGTTTCGGATTTGTTGGTAGGCCTTGCTGAGGCTCCAAAGTAAGCAGAAAATTGATGTATGTATTTGTATTTGTGATTAGCGCGCCAACCCCTTATTCACTCTGAAGCACCAACTCAATGCGCTTTGAAGATATTTGCACACGATCCACGATCCTCGATAGGTACGGCACATACACCTAGAGTCAACGACCGGTACTACATGTAGTAGGTACTATGTAACTTATTAGAAATCCTATGAGTTGCGTGGATGTACTTACCATGTCTGTGTTGTTATGCATGAGTCCTTGAAAGCCACTTTGTATGCGAGTTCTTCATAGAGTACAACTTTTATTCTATTTTCGAGAACGCTGACAGGTCTGATAAAGCCACGGGGATGCGGGTGGGTCCTATTGTCGCTTGACGCCAGGCCAGCATGATGAACTTGTTTTTTGTGGGCCTCCGTTATGCAAAGCGGGTAACCCGACGTTGGCTCACGACGACGGATATGCAGGGTAACTCGTGCAGAAATATATCCGGGTCCGCTGCAACGTTTAGCTCGATCTTAGTTTCAACAACTGTTCCGTCTCGTGGGGTGTGTGTGTGTGTGCGTGTATGGGTGTGGGTGCCTCTGCTTGCTTTCTGGAAGGGATCCGATAAGATGCCTGAAGCCCTGGATAATGCACACTGAAGCGGTAGGTAGGTTCTGGTTATTTAACAGCCGCGTTTTGCGACCTCCCTCGAGCTAGTTTCCACACCTGCGGTTGCTGATGCAGAGCAACTTTCTTTTTTGTTTATGAGGGTTAGGGTACTGAATTTCAAGGTCCTTAATTACTATCTAAGCTAGAAGCTTGACTCACAAACGAGATCTGCGATTAACATGTCGATTAACGTGTTGACAAAGATTGCAAGGCCTCGTCTTTAGCCTATCACCCTCGATTAAGCAAGGAAACATCTTCTCTGGTGGCGAAAACACTATTCCTCAGCCACATCTCTAGAAGTAGATTGTAGATGCGGTGATTGCCACTCCCAGATCTACGAGTGGAAACCACAATCCCACGTGAAAATCTATGCACTCAACACAAAGTACACTACCATGCCAATGATTTACAGGCGATAGAGTTCCAGTAGTAGTAAAGATTTTGTTTACACTTGAGAAATACCAAAAAATTGGAATCCCCTTGGCACTGTGACGTCACAACACGTTTGGGGCATGCATGGGAGAATAGAAATTCGATGTTGATCTGGCATGGGCCATGGGGGAATTTTGAGCCAAGCAGACAAGAGCCGAGTGGCCTCCTTGTGGCTTTGAATTTAAATGGCTCGGTTCAGGGAAGGGTATTATCGGTATGTAGCAGCCCTTGTAAGAATCAACAGGGCCCTTACTTTTGAATTGGCATGCTCTGTGTTTAACAGACCTAGGGTGTGCTTTTTTGACTATTGAATTTAATATTCTACCAAGGATGTCGAAGAGACGGTAGGGAAGTTAACAACCCCTTTGCCATTTCTCGCCCCATCACACCTCACTTCTGTTTTGAGACCCTTTTTTCTGTAATTTCTTTTTTTTTGTCTGAAAACTGCCCTTTTAGATTTCTGAGATTTGTGCTCACCAGTCGCTGCCCTAGTAGGGGTAGGGATGATCATCCCTCTTAAAGTATAGCCGGGGAAACGACTGGCTATCATGTTCGCGGATCATTTGGCCGAAGAGTTCCCTAGTTAGCCCTCTCTAAGTTCTACAGTCGAAATGTCCGCAGAGAAAGGTGTCCAAGAGCATCTCCTGAACCGCGGGGTTTTTGTATTGAGTTTTGACTGCTTTCATGTCGACCCGGGGACTGTGCCGTCGGCAGACTTAATTCACAAGAAAACTATTCTTCCCCAGACATACTTCCAAACGGGCCACAGATACTGGAACCGGAAAACAAGGGCAGCTCACAGCCTTATTCTGATTTTAATATTCCAGCTTCGGGCGATAACCTGTTCCAGCATCGTGTAAGCCCCAGGGCCCTCAAGCCTTCCATATTATTTACCCTCAGAATTACTGTGGCTTTATTCCTAACGTTACCTAACCAAGGTACTGGATACGTCTGGAAAGCCTGCGCGGAGAAGAAAAAAAGGAGTCCCGATACCCGTCACTAAAGTTCATTTGCGGCGTTACGCCTCAACCCATACAAGACGCCATTGGAGGGTGGGGAAATCCTTAATAGGATACAACCTTTGTCAACGCCTCAGAAGTCCAGCTCTTCTGTACATCTATTCAGTGTACTCTCTGTACCTAGACGTGCCTTTTCTATATCCGATTACAATCACGTTTACGTCTACCAGATAAACTCTGCACACAGTATATCGAGTGATTTCTATATTGTGCTGCTGAAAATCGATACACAACTTCAGGGCTTTCCCGGTGCCCGCAATGACGACCTACAATCATGATCGGACCAGTGGTGCACCATTCCAGCTCAATTTAACTTCTTCGAACCAAGACCCCGAGAAAGTTCATGACGATGCCGGTTCACCAAAGCCGCGAGGACGTTCACCGCCAGGTTCATTTCCTTTTCACATGAAAAACCCAGGACCTGCATCACCAGCATCATCCACTACAGGACCTGGTAGTGACTTCGGACCACTTTCTCCAGATGTCGCAGACCTAGTATACCCTATTAAATCAGTTGTCAACGTATCGCACCCGGTACAACCCAGGCCCACATCTCCGAGTAACTTCTGGGGTTCAAACGATAGCACAACGGGATCCGTTGGTGGTGGAGTGCTACTGGGAGACGAGGCATCCCTTGGCCATGGCATGAATAGCAGGAGTCATTCAAAGTCTCCCCGTGGGTTTTCGATGTATAGACGACCCTCAGTCGTCTCGACCAAGGATCTAAATGATGGAGAATCAGATAGAAAGCGTTCCATGGGGTCTATAGCACATAACTTGGCTGTGAATGGTGAGGAGGACGAGGATGATGATGATTACGAAGAGCCGAGGAGTGGCGGGATGTTTTTTGGTAGTAGAGGAAATCGATTATCAGAGAATATCGAGGAAGAGACCTTTATCACTGCTAGATTCAAGCACAAAATGACAAAAGATGGCCATGCAGTTGTTACTGGGGTTTCTGGGGCTGAGACTTTGCAACGATGTGAGGATGAGCCTATTCATATTCCCGGAGCCGTCCAGGGATTTGGCACACTGGTAGCACTACGGGAGGATGCCAGTGGCGCACTAGATGTTAAGATCGCCAGTGAGGTTTGTTCCCATAGAAATCGCTGCAGATGTAGATTGCGATTGAAATCACAGCTAAGATCAAGAACAATAGAACTCCAAGCTGTTAATCGGGTACTCACCGGCAGAGTTATTCGCACTCAGCGATTTTTGCAATATCCTGTCCGAGGAACAGGCGGAAAATCTATATGAACATTTAGACTTTATTCGGGACGACTCTTCTGATTTGCTAAACTCGGGACCAGAGGTCTTCCCACTGGTCATCACAGCACCTGACTCGACAAGAATAAAAATCTGGTGTGCAATCCACATAACAGACGCTAACCCGGATTTGATAGTATGCGAGTTTGAGCTTGAGGATGACCAGCTGTTTCCTTTATTTAACCCGGCAGATGAAGTGTTCAATACACCGGAGGACACGTTGGGTTCAAATCCATCGGAGGAGGATTTTTTGGAAAGTACGTTGTGCATGAGCAGACCACTTCGGGTATTACGTCGTGCCAGAAAACGGAGAGGTCAAGCTGCAACGATGGAGGTTTTCAACCTTATGAGCCAAATACAGGGTAACTATAGAAATCAATACCATTTCGATTTTTTTTTCTGATTATATATATACTGACATTATTCTTTACTGGAAGATCAACTATCCTCGGCTACAACTCTTGATGCGTTCTTGAAGATTTCTGTGGGTGTTGTGAAGGAACTTACAGGTTTCCATCGTGTAATGATCTATCAGTTCGACGAAAACTGGAATGGGCGGGTAGTTACTGAACTTGTTGACCCAAGAGCCACAAAGGACCTTTACAAGGGCCTGAATTTCCCAGCTTCAGATATCCCAAAGCAAGCCCGCGATCTTTACAGAATCAACAAAGTACGTCTCTTGTATGACAGGGACCAAGAGACCGCAAGGCTTGTGTGCAAAAGTAAGGAGTTTCTGGATAAGCCCTTGGACATGACACATTCCTATCTCCGAGCTATGAGCCCGATACATTTGAAGTACTTAAAAAATATGTCTGTACGAGCAAGTATGAGCATCTCTATCACAGCTTTCGGCGAGTTATGGGGTCTTGTTTCTTGTCATACTTATGGGCAGAAGGGGATGAGAGTGAGCTTCCCCATTCGAAAAATGTGCAGACTTATCGGGGAGACAATGAGCCAGAATATTGAGCGGTTGAGTTATGCATCAAGACTCCAAGCACGAAAATTGATCAACACAGTTCCGACAGAGCAAAACCCTGGGGGATATATTGTTGCAAGTTCTGACGACCTACTGAAACTGTTTGACGTTGATTTTGGGCTGCTATCGATAAGAGAGGAGACTAAAGTTCTTGGTACTTTACAGCATTCTCAAGAAGCGTTGGCTTTAGTGGAGTACCTACGCATACGTCTCTTTACGTCTATTGTCACTTCCCAAGATCTCTCTGTGGATTTTCCAGACCTCGACTATGCACCAGGGTTCTCTGAAATTGCCGGGCTGCTATTAGTACCTTTGAGCATTGGTGGACATGACTTTATTGTATTTTTTCGGAAAGGACAATTAAGGCAAGTAAATTGGGCTGGAAATCCGTACGAAAAGAACTTGAGAGAGGGTACCCAAGGGTACTTGGAGCCAAGACAAAGCTTTAGGATTTGGAGCGAAACAGTTGTAGGGAAAAGCAGGGAGTGGACAGAAGAGCAAGGTGAGCCATTTATATCTTGTCCTGCGTACTTAGCTGTTGGGTCACTTGACGGCTCATTAATTAATAATATTAATGGTGAACAGTCGAAACGGCGGCCGTTCTATGCTTGGTCTATGGGAAGTTTATCGAGGTTTGGCGACAGAAAGAAGCCGCTTTACAAAAGAGTCAATTGACAAAACTATTACTTGCCAACGCATCTCATGAAGGTACGTAGATATATCTCAAATCTCTCTCCCCGCCCTATTATTATAAATGCTCATAATTAAATATAGTCCGAACTCCTCTGAATGCCATAATCAATTATCTTGAGATTGCTCTTGAGAGCCCCCTCGACCACGAAACTAGAGACAACCTGATGAGATCACACACTGCTTCAAAATCTTTGATCTATGTTATCAATGATCTTTTGGACCTCACACGAACAGAGGAGGGACAGGATCTAGTAATGGATGAGATTTTCGATCTTTGCAACACGGTCAACGAGGCGACTTCAATCTTTAGATCGGATATCGAGCGAAAAAAGATTAGTCTAGACATTATCGAATATCCCGGCTTACCAAAGTTCGTTAAAGGAGATCAATCACGGTTACGCCAGGCTCTTTCCAACATCACTGGAAACGCGATTCAGTACACCGATCAAGGTGGGGTCAAAATTGAGATTTGGATGCCTAGCTCAGACAATGATCGATGCCAAATCGAAATTGCTATTCAAGATACTGGGGCTGGGATGTCGGCCAAAAAGCTTGATTTGCTTTTCCGAGAGTTTGAGCAGGTACAGACAGAGGAGGATCAGGAGTCAAGTGCCCCTACTGGTATCGAGGGCGTGCCTAATAAACCTCGTGTTGACCAAACTCTGGACGGGCTTTCAAAGATTCCGGGGCAGAAGATGTTGGGGCTTGGATTAGCGGTAGTTGCCAGAACAATTAGGAATATGAATGGACAGCTGAGACTAAAATCTGAGGAGGGAAAAGGCTCCCGTTTCACGATAAGCCTCCCATTCACACTCCCCTCCGAGAAGGAGGGGGTTGAATCGGGTTCTCAACCAATGTCTATTAGAGATCCATCGCCGCGGCCTCAATGTGCAACACCCCCGTTGTTAGATCAGGACTCAAATGAGTTATTGTTGATAGATTCATCACCTCAAAAACAATCCTCTGCGAGTATGGAAAGAAAAAACAGCACGGGCAGCATGAAAAGTTTGGGCTCCCAGAGTAGTGGGCGCAGTGAGATTGAGAGGCTGGTTCACGCAATATCGGCCCCACCCTTTAACACAAGTCCAAACGAAACCCCTATTTCATATCGGCCATCGACGGCTAGATCTCTACCATCATCAAAACCAGTTACCGCAAGGCCGAAGTGCCCACCAGGCCCATCCTCACCAGGAGCACCAAACCTCCCAAGCATATCACTACAATCTCAACCCGGTCAAGAGGCCGTGGAGGGGTCGGCAGTACCAATAAGAGCGGTGCGGATACCAGATAAAGTCCCATTAGTCCCTGGCAGCGATTCTGCTCTCGATAAACCAGTGGTCCAGTCATCTGTACAAATCTTGAAGAAAAAGAAGCCCGTGAAAGATGGTCTAGTGAAGGACGGTCTAGTGAAGGGCAGTTCGGCGAAGGACAGTCCAGTGAAAGACGGCCCAGTGAAAGATGGCCCGGTGAAAGATGGCCCGGTGAAAGACGGTCCAGTGAAAGACGGTCCAGTGAAGTTCAAGGTTCTAATTGCGGAGGACGACCCTATAAACAGCAAAATCATCAGAAAGCGCATGGAAAAGCTTGGACACGAAGTTTGCCTTACAGTTAATGGAGCCGAATGTGCGGATACATTCACTAAAACGGGAGAAGACTATAATATTGTCTTGATGGATATGCAGGTTAGTATTTCCCTTTAAGAATTGCACCTTTAGTCGGAATATGATATTAACAGGTATGAAAGATGCCCATCATGGATGGAGGAACTTCCACTACTCGAATACGTTCCCACGAAGTATCAGATCCAACGCGCGGTATCCCGCAAAAGCATCTGCTCAACGGTCGTGTTCCGATATTTGCAGTTTCTGCCTCGCTGGTCGAGGAGAGACGCAAGGAATATATGGAGCTCGGGTTTGATGGATGGATATTAAAGCCTGTGGACTTCAAGCGACTGCAGACTTTGATGGAAGGAATCCTGGACTCAGATGCGAGGCGAAGTTCTGCATATCAACCGGGGGCATGGGAGCGTGGAGGTTGGTTTTTGGGATCACCAGAAGAAGCGGAGAGCTCAACTCCCCGGTCGGAAGATGCTACACCCTTATAACCCGGAAGTGGTTGTGGTTTAAAAAATTCCCCAAAATCGAAAATTTAGCGATCTGCAAACCTTCCTACGACATGTCGAATACCTTTCAGGAGCCTACAGGCGTAGGGTCTAGATTTAGGGATGGGGTAATTTTCTTTTTTCCCGCTTTCTTTAATTTGTTCAGTCGTATCACTTCAGCTTTGGACCATTTTTATCACACGCCGCAGGAACAGCATAAAGTTATAATAGTAGCTGGTCTTTTATCAGTTTCCAGGAGCTTTTTCCTTTTATTCAGTCCTGTAAACCGGGATTTAGATATTATATCGTTTTGGGGACGAGCATTTTGAGGTCGATTTGGTTAAATTTTTTTGTTTACTTATATCATCGTTATGCAAGGGCAATTGGGTGTCTGAAAGGGAAGGTTTCTAGGAATTAAATTAAGGGTGGGAACTACGGGCTGGTGAACAGATAAAACACATGTATTTAACGCAAGATTTTGTCTTCGGTTCTATTTATATCATCAAAAAATAGAACGTTGCGAACATCAGGCATTCTTCACCTTCAAAAGTCAATGATCGAGTTTTAAAATTGTTCATATAGCCGAGTGATAGACCATGTCTCAAACAAATCTTTTTTTTCCTAACTTGATAATTAGCGATTGAGATTATTATAATGATCTCTCACCCATTTCGCTGAACGTATAGAAGTGCTTATAACATAGAGCCCTTCGCAGAAATGCAGAGCTCTAGATCTGCCAGTTCCAGTACGTACCCCTAGCTGCGGATTAGTCAAACACTGTCACCGGCCAATACGCTGTCGATATTCTTGTTGGGCGTTTCGATTCTCGTAACATCCAATATATTAACGAACGTACGGTAGTTGGCCAAGAGCAATTAATCATCGGTGACTATCAATTTCTCGCTGTAGCAATTGCATCTCTCTCTCTCTCTCTCTCCAAGGCCTTAAGGCCCACCTCCATACACAGCTACATGTACTTACGGCAAGAAAACCGGCTTTGCAGGTAGGTTTTATCTTGGCTGTGTATACATAGCCACTCCGGATCCGTAAAAGCGCTCGTGATGCGAACGAACTCGGGATTTAGGTTTTTACCCACTCCTCCTCCTCCTCCTCCTCCTCCTCCTCCTCCTCCTCCTCCTTGCAAGATACATGCTGTGTACACTCACTCTGTTATCGGCGCCGGCTCTGGCAGGAGTGGGTGCTGCAAGAAGAAGAATAAGCCATATTGAAAGTAAGGGTACTCAATGGCGCTGCTGCTGTATCATGTATCGATGGTGTCTATAGCTATTGCGTCGTTGGAAAGAGGACCGTGTCAAAAGGCGGTCATGGGCAGAAAGAAAAATAAAAGCAAAGAGGTTTAGTCTTCCTGACTACCGGCACCATGTATGTATGTATGTATGTATGTACTAGGCCTGACCCTCCTAGCGTTTGTAAAAGGAGCCACTATTGCAATACCGTGCAAATACGCGCAAAGTCCACAATGTAGTATGGTATGCGTCAATAGCGGGTTAATTCCTTCTACAAACGTCAGGAAAATACGGGATGATCAGTATCACGGATCCAGGTAGGAATATATACGTATGTACATGTAGCTACCATTCCAGAGCTTATGGCGACACAAAGATATGTAGCTACATATGTATAACCCAGCGGCGCAGAAGCTACATGCAGAACGTATACAAGTAAAAAGAGCTTGAAGGAGATGTATCCCGGATATCGTGTTTCCAGTGTATGTTGCTGCTCTAGCTGGCAGCCCTGGAATCAAAAAAAAATAAAGTGTGCACGTACGTACAGCTAGGTACTCTACATCTCTAGCTAGCTAGCTTCCAAATCAGCAGGAGAATTAATTAACCACTTGAAATGCAGCTAAGGTTTGTCCATTAATATCGAAGCTCTCTATCTGGATCTGGATTTCGAACCTCATAAGACCATGTTATTGCGAAATACCAATATACTGATTTTTTTTTTTTGTTATCCGGGTAGTATAGTACAGTAAGTTAATGCGATTACTTGCGATCTTGAGGTGCGTTTTAGATGCAACCCCCCCCGAGCTAGATCTGATCTCTCTCCATTGGCGGCCATTGGACACAGCACGCTATAGTAATAAATGAGCCGTCATGTTTGTTTTTGTTTGCACCATTCAGCCAGCTAGCCAGCTAGCCAGCTACAAGTGATATCCCCAACTCGTGCTTTGGTTACTGGCTGTTTGCAATTGCTCCTAGCTAGGTATGTATGTAGATCATCACACCGGTATCCATTCTCTAGATCTATATACCACCATGGCCAGTGAGTGTGTACGAGTACTACCACTACCACCGCCAGCCAGACGGGTAATACATGTTAGTATTAATGGCAAAGTAACGCACTCTAGCTCTACGTTCAGGGATGTATGGCCACAGCGTAGAGCACCCATCCCAAGCTACATGTAGTAACGACCTCATGTAAGTACCGGCGCTGGGGAAGGCGCGGCTCCGCGACATGGGGGGCTCGAGGTGGGGGGGGAGGGGGCAGAGGATTTTCCCTAGCCCTGTGCAGTCAGTCAGTCAATCAGGTCAGTGGGTCTTTCAACGTCATATTGCTCTGCTCTACATACTCTACCCATACCATACCGTACACACAGCTGCATACGGCCAACCCACACGGCCTTTTTTCTGTATCGTATCGTGTGTACATACCATATCTACATACATTATATCCATATCCCCAACTGATTGATTGACTCGATTAATTTGGAAACCTACGGTACTTACCCAACGTTCGTTTTTATCCGCGCTGCGCGACCTTGAGATAATAGACCCCCCCCGCAGAAGATCAAGAAGAAATACACCCCCCCCCCCCTCCCCTTCCCCCTTCCCCTCCTGATCTGGTCAGATCTCCCACCACGAACACCACACCCACGCACAACACCCGCCTCTCCGTGTGAGGCCATCTCTCGCGCTTGCCCGGGAACGTGGGAAAGAGGAGAATGTGCTGCTGCACCGCCGATGATATACAGTTCCCGTCGATAGCACTACTACTACTACTACTACTACTACTACTACTCCAACGGCCGCTACCACTACAGTTGTTTGCCGCGCCCTACTATTGATTGGATTCTACATACAGACGGTGCCGGAGGAGAGAACAAAATGTTCACGGGGGTCATTGGCGGATATTCCACAACTACTACTACTACTGCTATTGATATTGATATTATTGCAAATTCTACTTTTACTACTACTGCTGCCACTGCGAATACTACTACTATTACCACCGCGAATACTACTACTGTGGACACTGCATTTGAGGTTATACCCTGCTGTCGCGACACTGGGGAACGAATCGATATCTTCTGTCTGTAGTTTGATTCTTTTTTTGTTGTTGATTTCCCTAGTTTCACTATATATATATTTTTTTCGGGGGGGAAGCTTAAGGCCACGCGCGCGCAGCTCCTGAGAAAGAAAGAAAAAATTGGGATTTCAAAGCAGAGGCCCTTCCGAGAAGACGCGATTGACCGTGATTGATAGCGAAGAGGCGGCCCTGGTTCCAATTGCAATACATCCATCTACTCTAGCGGCGGCGCACGCACACACAGAAAGAGAGAGAGGGTGTAACACATACTACTTACCTACTACTACTACTACTACTACTACTACTACTACCACCACACTTCCAGTACCTATCAACCCCATAGCATCGGGTCGGCGGTAGTCGAAGAAGGAATTGCAGAGCCTCAAACCCGGGGAAGGTTAAGAAGAAGAGGAGGCGTGAATAATATCCCAACAGACCCGTACGTGCAGAACTAAAGGGTGAAGAGTAGCACACAATAAGAGGAGGAATCTAGAAGGGGAAGAAAAGAAAAGAAAGAAGATAGAAGATAGCCCAATACCGCCAGTCAGCAGCATCAGCACGGTCAAGCAACGCGCCCCGGCCGGCCAGCCCAACAACAATCCACAATACCGGTTGCCTGACAGTCAGTCAGCGCTCTTCTGCACCTCGCACCTCGATACCACACGGTCCACACCAGTGAACCCGACAGACAGACAGACAGACCGCCCCCTCCCTCCCTCCCTCTCTCTCTCCCCTCACTCTGTTCCATCCCAAGCTGGCGGCGATCGATATCCTCGAGTAAGGTCGTGGTTGGTTGAGAGAGACGCACTTACTTGTGTGTGTGCTTGTACGACTAAAAACTTGCAGCAGCAGCAGCAGCAGCAGCCTCACAGCCATTGATTGCATAGATACTACATATCACATACTTACCTACCCTACAATACCCATACTACATACTACCCCCCAAACTCAACTTCTACTGTTGCAGCATCCTACCATTACCGCCGCCATAGAGCTACTATTATTATTACTACTACTACTACTGCTGCTACTATTGCTACTATTGCTCCTACTACTGCTGCTGCTACCACTGCCTCGACTCTCACTCACCCACCCAACTACCTACCTACCCTCTTGCTATTGCGGCTGCCACGACGCCCAAATACAAATTCTACTACATACAAAACAAATAATAAATAACCCTTCGACCCCGGAACATCCTTGCCGCGAACTACTGCTACCACCAACCATCACTCGCAAACATCACGGTCAGGGGATCATAGCACCCCCAAAGACCTCGGGAACAGAAGCATGGAATCCCCCGAAACCTGTCTAACGAACGTTCTCAAGATCGTATACCTCCCCTCCTCCTCCTCCCTCTCCTTCTCCTCCCTCATTCCCCTCCTCTCCCCCATTTCCCCCTCCCCACTCACCCCAATCACCCCCAATCACCCCCTCCTCCTCCCCGCGCAATCCTCAGTGATGATGTTAACCCCATAGCAATACCGACAGGAGAACCTCTCTCGAATACCCTACACCCTCTACCGCCCTTCAGACGATAACCCACCACAACCACAGCCACAGCCACCACCACCACTACAACCCCAACTACAACAACCGTCACAACAACAATTACAACCACAACCACCACACCAACTCCCACAATCACAATCGCACTCAAGAATCCTTCCCGCGTCACTAAACCGCCACACAACAAACGCCCTCCGACACGCCGAACGCACCCTCCGCACAGAAGGAAACATCGTTTATGCGGATCGCGACAGCGTGACCCTGTGGCTATTCCAGATTGAAGGCTTCCCGTCACCACCCGGGGGAAACACCGCCAGCGGAGGAGGAGGAGGAGGAGGCGGCGCCGGCAGCGGTAAAGATGCCTGCGGCGACGACAGCATGGAGGGGGAGGTACAGGCACAGATTGCCGAGGAGGAGACGAGCGGCAAGTGGAAGAGAATCGACGCCAGGCTTCGCGATGAGTGGGGTCTTCGAGGTAGGCTGTCCCCCCTTGCCCTAGCTACGTATCGACCTTTTTTTTTGAGAGCCCAATGCTAACAACCCGCGCGCGCGCCCACACACAGAATCGTCATCCGGAACCTTCCTCGCATCCACCTTAGCACCCCCTCAACCCCCGCACACAGCAACATTTCACTCATCCTCGTCGTCATCGCGTCCCGCCACGCCTGGCTTCCCGCCCACGCCCATGTCCGGCATGTTCCCGCCCTCGTCGTCGTCGCACAGCACGCCTGCCGCGATCGACCTCACCGACGACGGCGGCGGCACCTCCGAGGACGCCTCGTCCTCCTCATCCCCGCCTGAAGACCAGTTTGCGGCCTACAAGCGCTTCATCACCGCCGTGCTGCTGTCGCTCCACTTTGAGATGGCGGCCGGCAGCGGCTACACGCCGCTCAACATCCGCACGCTCGTCTCGCCGGCGTCCCTGCGGCTGTCGGGATCCTCTGAGAAGCGCGCCGCCGCCGCCGGCAGTGAGAAGGAGGACAACAACAACAGCAACACGGGAAAGGCGGACCAACAGCAGCAGCAGCAGCAGCTCCCGAGCACGCCCGTCGTGGTACCGGAGGTTATACGACCCACGGTGGTCGCGTTGGACGCTTATCTGACCACCGCCGGAACGCTGCTGATCATACCGCATACGGAGGTGCAGCCGGCGATTCGGCGGGTGTCGTCGTGCGCGACGCGGGGTGGGGCGGCGAGCAGGAGAGAGACGGGAGAGACGTGTATATTGCGCCGTGGGGCGAGTGGGGGCGATTGCTTCCCTCTACGCCTGCGGCGGAGCCGGCAATGTCGGCGAAGGAGATGAAGTGGAAGGACGCGGTAAGGTCGTATCTGCAGGACTGCGGCATCCTCTCGACGCCCGGTAATGGCAATGGCTGGCGGAGGGACGTGAACGTGCTTGAGGAGGCGGTGCAGATGGGCGATTGGCGAAGGATCGAGATATGGATACCGTTCAAGGAGTTTCCCGGAATGGGCATGGCCGTAAAGGTGCTGTGGCCGGAGGCACTGCTGTTTATGAAGGCCAGCGAGGACGACACTATACCCTGCACGGTGGGCGATGATGATGATGATGATGATGCACAGGCTGAAGACGCTGCTACGGAGGGCGAGGACGTGTTCTGGAAGACGGTGTTTTCCGACCCGGAGTACGCACGCTTCGCGTCCGGCAGCCTATCAATGTCGCTCGCGTCGCTCGTATTTGCAGACGACGGGCAGCCGCTGCCGCCGCCGCCGTCGCGCGCGCGGAAGGACATTGGCGCGGACTGGTGGGGCACGGCGTCGGCGGTGGACTGGGCCGAGGAGTGGCTGGCGGGGCGGGAGGAGCGCGACCGCGTGGTTCAGGCGCGGCTGGAGGCGAAGAAGGCGCTGCGGCTGCAGAGGGAGGAGGCGGAGCGGCGGGTCAAGGAGGAGGAGGAGGAGCGGGTGCGCGTCAAGGTGAAGGAGGAGGAGAGGGCGCAGCAGCAGCAGCAGGTGCAGGTCCAGGTGCAGGTGCAGGTACAGATGGAGATGGGGATGGGGATGGGCATGGGCATGGGCATGGAGATGGAGATGACGGAGGCGATGGATACGAAGGAGGATAAGGCGAAGCTGAAGGTGCTGGAGCAGAAGAACCCCGCGGGCGTGTATCCGACGCCGCCGGAGGGGGGGCCGCAGCAGCAGCAGCAGCACCAGCACCAGCAGCACACGGCACAGACGATGGGCGGGGGGCCAGGGTCGACAGGGTCCGGGAGTGCGCCGGCAACAATTTCAGCGGAGGCGATGATTGGCGCGGTGGCGCTGCCGGCGACGGAGACGGAGACGGACATGGAGCTGGACTGGACGGCGGAGCTGCCGGGCGTGGCGGACCAGGTGCCGGATGCGCTGGGCGGGGGGAGGAAACAGAGCGATGCTGCGGCGATCGGGGGTCTTGCGGGCGGCACGGCGGAGGCGGATCTGTTTGGGGGCGATATGGACGATGATGATATGTTTGGGCATGCCATCACGGAGGACGACTTTGCGTTCTTTGATAATAATCCCGGGGGATTGGAGGACTTTGGGGATGATTTGGGGGAAATGGGGGAGGAGGATGTGAATATGGCGCTGGAGGATATGGATCTTGGAGGAGGAGGAGGAGGAGCGGGCAGCAGTGTACAGGCTGGCGGTGGTGTTGGTGGTGTTGGAGGCGGCGAGATGGACCTGACCATGGAGATTCCCATGCACATGCGGGAGGAAATGGTGATTTCATCCAGCCCCGCTGCTGGAGCCATGATGGCGCAGCAGCCGCCGACTATCAACATTGACGTGAGCAGAGCCGACGGACATCATCACAATCACGACCCAAGGCCCCCCGGAGGTGGTGGTAGCGCCTCTGAGAAGCAGCAGCTGGCAGAGCGCGAACCGCACATCCAGACGCCGCCGCTGAGCCCGCACCGCGCCATCCGCCTGCTGGTGCCCGAGTACTCGCTCTCGCCCAGCACGCACCACCACCACCACCACCCGCACCCCACGCCGCCAACAACCGGCGGGGCCATGAAGACGCCGCAGAACAATGGCGCGCCCCCAGCACCACCGCCTCCACCACCCCCGAGCGGGGGTGGGGGTGTCAGTGAAGCGAAGCGCAGAATGTCGCTCTACTCGCCAATCACGTTCACGACAAAGATCGAGATGGCAGATAGAAAATATGCACCCGGAGGACGGTATTTCTTGCCAGAGAGCATCAAGGACAAGGAGCTGAAGGAGTTTGAGAGCAAGCAGGGGGGCAAGCTGGAGACGACCAAGGCGGTGCCTCCCACCACGCCGGGCGGCAAGCGGAAGCGCGGCATCTTTGTGCGCTCGGTGGTGGTTGAGGAGGGGGGCGTGGAGATGGCGGCGGCGCCGGAGGTGGCGGAGGTGGTGCTGGCGGACGACGCGGTGATGGCCGAGAGCCCGGAGGACGACGAGTGCGATGCGGGCGAGTATAGCGATGACGAGTGGTCTGAGGAGAGCAGTGTTGAGAGCGATGCCGATGACGAGACGGAGGAGGATGAGGCCGATGTTGGCGGGAGGTACTATACGAGCCCGTTGGCGGTGGCGTATGGCGGCAGTGGCGGCGGCGGCGGCGGAGGAGGGAGTAGGAAGCGGAAATGGGCGTTTGAGGACGACGGCGAGAGCTCTTCGGTGGCGGAAACGACGATGAAGCGGGAGACGGGTGTTGGTGGTGCGGGCGGTGGTGTTGGTGGTGTTGGCGCAGCGGACGGGGAGGGCGAGGTGCTGGGCGAGATTGCGCCGCCGCCGTGGGAGGTGATGGTGCCAGACCCGACGGACGCCTCTCTTGTGGGCGTCTTCTCCAACATGACACTCGAGACAGACGCGGTATCGCTGGCGGGCCTGGGAGAGGCCGAGTTCATGGCCGTCAGCAGGCTTGTGCGCGAGCAGGTTGTGAGCGGGACGTCCAAGCCGCTGGGAACGCTGCTTGACGGCGGGGGCTGGGAGACGGCGGTCGAGGACGACAACGAGGAGTGGTGTCTGCTGCGCCGGCGGAAGGGCAAGGACGAGGAGGTTGTCGAGGAGGCTGCGCGCGGGCTGTTTGGCAGCGGAGGTGTCGTCCGCTGTACGCTCGAGACATATGTCACGGTGGCCGACGCAGTGATCGACCCGCCGCCGACGCCGCTGCTTGTCGGCAGAGCGGCGTCCATGCGGCCCATTGCACAGCCCAGGCGCGGCATCAATAGCAATAGTAACAACAGCAACAGCAACACCCCGACGCTCAACAGCAACAACAAGCGGTCCTCAGACCTCACGGCGCCTGCTGCCAATTCAGCGATTTTCAGACTGCCGCCACCGCATGTGCATATCCACCGTGCTGAGCAGGCGCTGGAGATCCTGCCGCCGGCCCTCCACTTCTGGGAGACGTTCGGCTTCGGCCCGTGCTCGGGCCCCAAGAACGTCATCGGCTTCTGCCTGCACCCGGCATCAAAGGCCATGGACGACGCCGCCGACGCACTCCTGGAGCGCGTCTCGTTCTCGTACGAGTCTGGCCGCTTCGGGACACACGTGCGTGGGCGGCTGGACGCGTCGGGCATCACGAACGGCGCGCTCGGCATCGGGCCAAAGGACAGCACCGGCGAGATTGACAGTCTGGAGAAGGGCGTGGTGGCGCTGATGGACGGGATGGCGGAGTTTGGGGTGGTGCTGGCGAACGGTGTGGCCGACGAGTTGCAGAATATCGTGGTGTATGTGATTAATCCGTTTGAGCACCCCAGCGCGGTGGTGGATATATGTGCGGGCTTTGTGCGCATGTGCAGGGTGTATGTGGCGGCGTGTGTGGGCGGCGGCGGCGGGGCGCAGATGGGTGCGGGGGCGGGGGCGGGGGCGGGGGCGAGGAGGAATAATTTGGTGTTGCAGATTGTGCCGGTGGGGTTTTTGGCGAGGAGGGAAGGAGGTGTGAGTCGGGGCCAGGGCGAGTGGGCGACGTTTGCGTGTGAGGTGTATAATCGATGCATGCCGACGGATGGGATGTGCTCACTGGACGAGGTATGATATTCCCATGATATTCCCTCTTCATAATCCCCTCTTCCCATGATGTGCGGTGTGCAATTGCTAACTAGACTGACCCCCAGGCACAAAAGACATTTTCACCATCAATATATCTCACCCGCTCACCGCCAAAGACAATCGAGTTCCGCGCAACAGACCCCTCGCCCTCCCTCCTGCACGAAAACTCCCTCCTGCACATCGCCTACGCCCAAAGCCTCGACGAGCGCTGGATCACCGTCGCCTGGACCGACGCCTGGGGCGAGCAGCAAGCCACCGAGAGCTACTGCCTCGGCCGCAAGCACTGCACCGTGCTGCGCCCCTTTGACGACGTCTGCCGCGACATCTGGGCGCGCACGCTCGAGATCACGCGCATCCGCCGCGTCGCATGGCGCATCATGCTGGCCAAGGTGGCGCCCACAATGCCCGCCGACGAGATCGACATCTGGGCGCGCCTGTCGCGCGCGTCGATGGGGAGTCTTACACACACGCTTACGCTGCTGACGGCGGATGTTGCCCCGCCGTTGGCGGTGGCGCCGGTGTTGCCGGCTGTGGCCCCCGCGGCGTTTAATCCACTTGTGGGGGGCGCGGGGACGGGGACGCCGCCGGGGTTGGGGGGCACGACGCCGACGCCTGGGGGTGGTGCAGGGGGGTCGATTGTGTCGCCGGATCAGTTTGGGGGTGCGGCGGCGACGCCGTCGGCGGATTTGTTGCCGGAGGTGGATGCGGGGTCGGCGTTGGTGGATTATGGGGATGAGGTGTGGGGCGTGGTGTGTGCGCACCGGTGGCGGCGGGGGCTGCTGCTGGGGATGGATGATGCCGGCAGTGCTGGTGTAGGTGGAGGGGGGTGGATGGGGTATCTGGTGAAGAGGGGGGCGCGGGGGAGGGGGACGATATGGTTGTGCTGGGCGTGGAGGTTGTGAGGGGCGGCGGCGGCGGGGTGGGGAGTGCGCTGCTGAGGGAGGTGCTGGCGGCGTGGAGGGATCTGGTCACGTTGGGGCAGTTTAAGGGCGTGGTGGAGATGGCGGGGCGGGGGCAGCGTGGTGCCGTGGCATGTCGGCGCGGCGTGGAAAGGTGTCGAGGCGCTTGGGTTTGTCATGTGATTTTTTTATATTTTATACATATGGTTTTCTTTTTTTTCCTCTTGTCACGACTTTTCATCATGGTTCGTTAGGACTGGTTTTTTTTTTTACCATTAGGCTGTTTGGCATTTCGCTTTCGTTTCGTGTTGGTTTTCTTTTTTCTTTTTTATCATTGATCATTGACATGGCTTGCTTTTTTGCTTGGGTTTGGAGGATTCTTTTTTTTTTTTCTCACTCGTCTTTCTTGGAACGGTGTTTTATTTTTATATATATATCTTCTCATTATTACTATTCCATACTTTTTCATCATTACCTCTATCTGGCCCAACCGGTCTTTTTTCTTCTTTCACAGTTAGGTTGCGGGACACCGGGGATCATCAATTGGAAAGGGCGGAGGAGGAAAAATGGGGGGGGGCGGGGGGCGGGGGGTCTTGTATGTATTGCTGCAGGAATGGCATGGACGTTGAAATATTCTATCGATACGGAAACTGGCTATGGGGTTGAGGGGGGGAGGCTACGGGGGGCTACGGGGTGGTTGGTTGGTTTTGGCTTGGTTCATCACGGCATAGGCGGGTGGCATGGGGAGCGATATATGTACATTTTTTTTTTTTTTTTTTTCTTTCATTATATTTTTTTCTCTTTTTTTCTACATCTTTTTTTTCTGTGAGTGCGGTTTTTCTTTTGCAGTGAGAGATTTGATTTTTTTTTTATATAAAAACGAGGTTTTTTTTTTTTTTTTAGAAGTGTGTTGTAGGTTTATGATGTTTTTTTTTGTTTTTTTTGTTTTTTTCTGAGCGTGGATTAGGAGGAGGGTGGATAATTTGGATTTGGATTTTGGATTTGGATTTGGATTTGGATTTGGATTTGGATTGAGGCAATTGAAAAGGGTTAATTTTTCGTATGATGTCGTGGGTTGTATAGTTGTAGTTAACTTACCGTGACGCCGTGACGCCGTGACATGTGGGGGGTGGGGTGGGTGGGGTGTTGTTGTGTCTAGGGATGTGAAATCGCAAATATATTATATCATATCGACCCATTTTACATATTGCCAAATTAGCCATGTTTGGGGGGGCTACCTGAATACATGTCTGAACCACCCAACCTCATCCAAAGAAAAGAAAGTAAATTCCACGCTTTGCAGGAGAATCTCTCTGTCTTTGTAAAGAAAGTTGATGCCCCGCGCGTTGCCAACGCATAGGGGAGCTAGCTAGCTACATGTACCCATACAAAATATAGAATTTTTTTTTTTTAGATAACGTTTTTCGATGTACTCACGAGGCTTGTAAAAAAAAAAAAAAAATCTTTTTTTTTTTTTTTGTAACCAGCTTTAGGTGGTTGTTTCGGGTAGTCAAACATATAGTACGAAAAAAGAGGAAGTAATAGGTACTACTGTACCAATACGGGATTGTGCAAAAACTTCCGAATCAAATTGGAATCCTAAATATTATACCGTAGCAATACCGTAACCCTACGGTGTTTTGCCAGATATGGTACTGGATCCACCCGCTTTTTGGTACTGTAGCTACATGTACTCTAGCTGTAAAAAAAAAGGGTATATTACTAAAAAAAAAACCTTTTATACATATACTATTCCAGGACGCGAGGTTTTATAAGAGACTGGAGATCAGAATCGTATTGTATGATCGTATCAATTGCTAACGAGAGCTGAAGGAAACCTTTTTATAATGAGTAAAGACGTTGTATTATCACTGCAACCAAATCCGTTGTCTTTGTTAAAAGAGGTCACGGTTTTACCAGAGACTGGAGAGGATCGAGTTGTATGATTGAAGTGAAGAAGTACATGTAACGAGAGAAGAAGGAACAGGCTAACAAAGTCGTGATAAACACGTACGTATCATCAAGACAACCAAATTCGTTGCCTTGACACATTAACAGTACTAATAACGAATGGCAAATGCTGTGAAAACAACAGCCTTGACAGATAGCAGCAAAGACTACCTACAAACGCTACTACTACTACTACGTGGCCATACCATACGGTCAGCTCCGGCAGTCGACGGATACTCTCGGAATCGAAAGGATGAACGGAACAGAAACGTCAGTGGCTTCATGTGTCTTTCTCAAAAAAAACGCAGCCTCGTTCCAAGGATGCCCCCCGTGCGCATGAGTGTGAGTGGGTTAGGGGTGAGTGAGAAGGTGTGATTCCACTTTCCGGGATGCGTTTTCGGCGGTAATCGCGATATGCCCCCTCCCGCGTTCCCCCGTATTGGTAGAAACGGGGCTTGGTTTTGTTTTGTACTAGCGCCTGGGGGGGGGCGATGTGGGAATCGGACGATGTTTGTAGAGGATGGATGTGTTTTGTTCTAGGCTATCCCGCCGTGGTGAATGACGGATGGCCCCAGGGTGCTGCCTGTCACCTACGTAGTGTAGCGTACCTACATGGGTAGCTTGACGTGGAGCACAGCAAGTAACCGCGATCTGGGATGAAATCACTGCGCCCATCTCTCCGGCGCTAGATACTCTCCCATGACTGCTGCGACTGCTGCGTGACTCTCTCTACTGATCTGCTCTATGCATGTACGGGCCTAACCGCGCCCCCTCCAACTTGACTACACTTCCCCCTACTACATACAAGTTAATCGCCCCAATGTGCGGGCCGCCTTTGGCGCGCGTAAACGAGTGCAACCCTACCCCTACCCCTAGATCATACCCTACCCCTACATACCCGCCCGACGCCCCGACGGGATTGCGAAAGTGAAAAAGTGAAAAGTGAAAAGTGAAGCGGATCAGAATGATTCAGCTTGCGACACCTCCCGCCCGCGCGCTGGCGTCTGTCAAAACTGAAAACCGCATTATTGTTCTTTTTTTCTTTTTTTGTACCCGTTTTTTTTTCTTTCTTGAAACACCGTGTACTAGCTAGGGGGACAGTGGACAGTTGGGAATGTCCGCCGCTCGAGGCAGGTTAATTAAGGTTTGGAGTCCGGTGAGCGGGCGGCTGTTCAAAACACCAGAGTCGCTTGACCTTTGACAATCCGACAATTGACCTCTCTGTCTCTCGAGATACCAATTCCACCGATTGGCTTGGTCTAGATATTGCCTCTCTAATTTCGGTTTTTTTCTTCTTTTAATTGCCCACCGATTCAACCCCATTGCGTGCCGCTGGTACTGTACTCTACAGGTATAAGCTATCCAAAAACAAACCCACGGGAAGATCTTCACAAGGCGCAAAAAAACAACTTTCAAAAAAAAAGAGCTGCCGGTCCGATTGGGTTCCAATAGATGGAATGCTCACAGTTAGTCTCTGTCTGTAGGTAAGGTAAGTAGGTACATATCGATCCCAATCCCAGCACCGAGTTAAGGTTAAAAACCTTTTTTTTCTTCCGCTCTGCTTATGTATGGGTATTGGTACCGGTACGTACCGGTCGATGTGTACCTGTAATTTCCGATATAATAATAGCAAGGCGTGGCATGCGGTATGGTGGTGGTGGTGGTGGTGGTGGTGGAAAAACTCTTCTGCCATGTACCGTGTATGTACGTACGGACGGACGGGACGAGCAAGAACAAGATCTATACGGTGCGCGCCCGCGATGTAGCTAGCTAGACAAAGAGCCTCATCCAATCCGATAGCTATACATGTAATCTACACTGCTGCAACACTCATCATACCATGCCTTACCTTACATCACCAGTCCCAGTCCTCTACCTCTAATCCACCCCAATCCATACGTGGGGGTCTAAATATACCTCACCCACATAAACATACATACATAGCATAAACCCGGGCGGGCGCGCATCCACCTATTTTTCGAGGAGTCTAGAGCTGCGGGAAATGCGCCTGCGATTGGCCCCACCCGCCTACGCGCCGGCTAAAATGCGCGCGATCACACGATTGGGCTCGCTTACCTAGCTTATGGGGGGCCCCGGGGGGGGGGTGATCTTCACGATACGATAAGAGACATACATACGGCCTGAGCTTTTTTGGAGGGGGGGGTCAGAGCTTCCTGATCTCTGATCTCTGATCAGAGATCACAGGATAGGTGGTGGGTCGTGTGATGGATTGACACTGGTCACTGGCCGGACTGGCCTGGCTGGCCTGGCTGAATGGCTGTGCTGTGTAGAATAGAGTGTGTACCTCTAGAGCGATCGCTTCACAGCCCACTCACTCACTACTTGCCTGCCTGCCTGCCTGACATCTGTGTGTCCAGGAAGCTTGGTCTCGAGGTACCAATGTAGGTACCGCAGTAGCCTGTAGAGCACTCTACTAGTAGAGTAGGTAGGGCTGCGGCCTAAACACCAAAGCCAAAGCCAAAACCAGCGCCAGCGCCAGAGCTAGCGAAAAAAAAAAAAAAAAAAGAGCCTCCAGCCTAGCGGCGGCGGCGGCGCGGCCGTTGTCCAAGCGAATGTCAAAATCGCGCAATATCCAACCATCGTGAAGGGCTTGTGCTAAGCTATGGGCTTAAAGTTGCAGTTGCAGCGGGATCGTCGGTACATGGCAGAGTACCTAGAGTAGGGGTTGCGGCGGATGATGGATGATGGATGGCCCGTGCTATGCTATGACAGTGGTGTTAAGCCTCCTTGTTCAGCTGGAGGAGACCAATGTCATCACTTTAGAGCCTCTAGATCCACACTTGTGTACATGTGTGTGTGGTATGGGGGATGTACTAGGCAGCAGCAGTGAAACGAAACGGGAGAGATGGAATGGGATGGACATGGGACGGATGGGATGGAATGGGATGATTAGAGTGCAGAGGGCAAAGCTAGAGGGGCAGATTAATTAGATTAGCGAGGTCATCACCTTCAGCAAGAGAAGGTAGTTTCTCAAGCAGGTACCACCAGCAATCTCACTATCCATAGAGTACATACATGTAGATGTTTTCCAG